TGTGCACGCTCTTATTATTTATATAAAATATCATATTAAATTGAATTAGAAATTAAAAAAGCAATGAAATCATTTGAAATTTAAAATTAAGATAAATTGACTAAATTAATATAATGTTTTTAAATAAAAAATCTGAAATTCTGAAAATTTATAATAATAATATTAATAAATAAGATATTGAATTTTTATATAAGAAGTTATTTACTTATTAATATATCTTATAATAGAATCAGAAATATAAGTTTTATTTAAGGAAATTATGAATTCTTTTATATTATAATATAAAGTAATTGAAAAAATTAAACTTTTTTCTCAAAATTCTGAAATTATATCAATATTAAAATCTGATAGTTTTTAAAAAGAAAATTTATAAGAATTAATTATTAATAAAATAATAAATTTATAATATTTAATTGTACTTTTGAATTATATAATAATAATAATCTTTAAAATATAGAGAAATATATTAAAATTTATGATTTATTAATATTTTATTTAATTAAAGATTTAAAAATGAATACTAAGAATTTGATTTGATATAATATTAATTATAACATAAGCTTTTATTAATTATTATTGAAAATTTGATTTTTATAATCTTCAATTATATATATTCCATTTTAATATTAAAGAAAAAAGTTATATCAATTGATTTTTAATTTAATAAATTTTTTAAATATTTGAATTTTCAGGATTTATTAATATTAAAATAATTTTTGTTTAGATTTTCTTTTTTTAAAAATTGATTTAATAATATTTTGAATTACAAAAACTTTTTTCTTGAAAAAATATATACTATAATAATAATTTTATAATTAGAATTTCATTATATATTATAAAATCAAGATTTAAATAATTTTAAAAATAGAATTTTAAAAATAAAAGATTTATTTAAAGAATTTCTTTTAATTAAACTAAAATTTATATATTTTAACTTTCAATATAATTCATTTCAAAAAGATTATAATATTCAAAACTTTAATATTCAATATAAATTTAAATTTGTTTTAAAACTTATTTTTTAATTTCTTTAAGATAATAAAAATAATTAGAAAATCTAATAATTTATATTAAAATCAATTCTTATCACTTTTTTGATTTTTTTGATTTCTTTATAAGAATATCAATATCAAAAAATCTATTAAAATATTTTTTCATTCTATAAATAGACTTTGATATATTCTTTATTGAAAACTTATATATTAAAATCATATATTCCTTTTCTTTTATTATTCAATCGATTTTTGTTTTAATAATTTAAAATTTCGAAGAATCAAAATGAATAATATTATTGAATTTCAGAAGTAAATTTTATCTTATTCTAATGATTTTTGAATTTTAAATTGATTTTTATTTTGATTGAAAAAAACGTACATATAGTAGGGGCGTGCACGTAGCAGGGATATCGGTTATCTATATCTATTTATATACATTTATATACATCTATTGAGATCTATATATATAATATATACAATATATATACAACCAACCCATACAAAGGATTCAATTAATATTACTACCTGTAGGCAGAAAACAAATGCAACGAACATACCTCCTACCTCCTACCAACTCCACAAAAACCTCCAGACAAACAGTCATTCAATTCCTGTATTGGACCATCTACCCAGGACCTAGGGATATCATATCAACCCAACCCATGATAAACCACAGCGTTTAACAGAGTAAAACCACCAATCGAATCTCCACATCTCCCCAAAACAATGCACCCCATCTTTAAAATGCATCAACATACACATACATACATAGGTACATACATACCTACATACATACATACATTCAACGATCTGATCCTCCCACCCGCCAGCTTCCTTCCTGGATGCATGCATACCGAGGATAATTAAAGGGAATGGCGGTACCTAGGGGAAGGGGAGGCGTGCCATGATTTCGTATTCTTCCGACACTCGATCATGCAGCTGCGAGACTTATCTCTGTGTATATCGTATGTGTACCTGAACTGTAATAAATATATAGATATAGTTAATATATAGTTCTATGGAGGAGTACGAAAAAGAGTGTGGACCTCGGTTGCAATATCAAGTTATGATTTATTTACATGCTGGGTACTCCTTTCTCCTTATCCTGCTCCTTTCTCTACTCCATCCTCTATCCTCTATCCTCTACAATATCACAAAATATAACCATCCCCATCAAACTCACCAGCTTCTTCTCTCGTTCGTACAGAAAGATACCCATCATACTACCTTTCCTCCCTCCCTTCAGCTTTGTTCCCTCCCATCATTCCCACCGTGTCACAGATCATGCGGCTTCGAATCTTCTCCCGTTCCAAACTCCCTTCCATCACCTAGCATAATGTTTCATTTCAACCTTTCCAGCCCCTCCATAAAATAAAATAAAAACAATCCAAAAAAAAAAAAAACGGTTATGGCGGCGTCTTGAATGTTTGCAATCCATTCGTTCATGTACGATTATGATGTAGCTGCCACGCGGTATCATGCAGCATAGCATGATCTACAGTTGGACAAGCCAAAATGAGGACCAAACAATAAAATCGTGGAAGCGTACTGGGGAGCCGGAGCCAAGCCGCAAACCGCATCCTGAGGATGTAATTGCGTTTTCTTATGTTTGGAATTGAAATTTATACGATAGGCTACGGAATGATTATTTGTACCGTTTTTGGTGGTGGGTTGGCTAGAGAGAGGTAGGTGTATTGTTGTTCAATTGTACCGGTATGGTGATTTCTTCAGGTTTGGTGTGTACGGGCTGGGACTGACTCGTGTTTACGTGAACGAGTACCTTTTGTAATTCTCTATACAATGCCAGCTTGCTTGATGGATAGATAGCATGGAGAAGTGAGGGTTCACCTAGGGATTGTCCCACGTTCTTTGATAGATATAGATTTTTGCATTGCGGATAGCCATCGATCAGATAATCTTGAGTCATTGGTTTGGAATGGGATGAAGTTGAAGTTATCATGTTATATCTGGGTTTGTAAGACATGACATGAGATGGGACATTAGAGATAAATCTCCTTCTTTGTATAGGACTTTCATTATTAGGTAGAAGTACTGATGGATTTCTCGAAATCGAGGTGGTGAAATGTTGGGTACCAGTCGAGCCAGTCAACTTCATAGATCTATCGCCTCGAGATAGTCCATAGAGTAAATTGAGGCAGAGGCAGAAATGCTAAATCTCCTATCTTTGAATTCAATGAAGATACCATCAAAGCATCTAGTCACAGCACATTTTCAATACATGTACACAAACATACACTTACCACCAGCGTAACCGTCGGCAACAATAATTTTTCTAATCAAATAGCCATCAATAGAGTCACATCCGAATCAACCCTCAACAAATCATTCCACCGCAAGAAGATTATCCATCTGTTCTCCCCGGTAGCTGAATTTACAATGGTAACCAATCCCAAGCATGCGTGTATCCGAAGATTAAGTATAATATGAGGCGAGCTTGGAATCTTAATCATTTCTTGGTACGATAGGAGGATAGGTACCTAGGTACTCGTAGTATTTCCTTGGACAAAAAGGGGTCACACGTACCAATGGAAGGGAGGCACGGGTAAAAGCAGAACATGAAACAGCCTTGGTATTTGGAAAGCATCATAGGTCGATGTGTTCATACTCTATACGGGTGATACAATACAGAGTATATACAATATGGATCGTTCTCGGAATGTCTTGAATCTTCGGTCAAAACTCAATCATGAGATGTATACAGACATTGTCTCCTGTCAATGTAGAAATCGATGATGGATTGTATTTGTAACTTACAGCGTCCTATCAAAATGAGTTCTCATACTAAAGAACATGGTGGATGAAAAGATGGAAACTTAATGGAGAAGCTTAAAGGTACGTCCCGGTGCTTAAGAAGTAGTTTAATAACGTGGAGAAAATACGAGAAGAATGAAAGAAAGGTCCTGATTGTATTGTAAATATATTGGTATAAATTGAGATACTCTGTCATATATATCTACCTAGTATCTATACTGAGGCCGATTTGAATCATTTGATCAAAACCCCAAAAATAGATTTTCGCCTGATGAAAAAAGAAATTTTAGAATCTATATAATGTGTTTATAGAAATTTTAAATAAAGAGATTGAATTCAATCTTATTTGGGATTTTTTGTAAAATAAATTATATCATTGAATAACCTTTAGAATTAGCTTTATTTATTTGTTTTTAAAATCCATTTCGAAATTTTCTATAAAAAGTATATTAATATTTAAAATCTGATATATAACTATTTTCAAATAATTTTTCTTATAATACATAAACTATTCTAGAATAAACAAAATAAATTTCGAAATAAACTTAAACTCGAATTTGAGATAAAGAGCTTTTACTAAGCTTATCTTACTTATATTATATAACTAATATAATTTTAATTAGTTTTTATAATATAAAACAAAGTATTTAATTCGATATATAACCTTAAAAGAATTGATAAAATAAAAAGAAAAATATTATAAATATCAATTAAAATTCAAAGAATCGATTGATATATTTCTTTTCTAATTTTTTTGAAAATTGAAATTTATATTGAATTTTGAATACTTTTATTATACTTATAAATCTGTTTTCTATTAATACCTCAAATATTAGACTTGATAATTAATTAATCTTTAAATAATATTATTAATATTAAACAGAATCTTTTAATTTAATACACAACCTTAAAGAAATTGTGTGGACAAGGGAATTCACTCAAAGGAATTCACTTCAAAGGAATGACTTCCATACAATGGCAACTGTATTAAAGGTATTAGGCGAAAGCGAAGGAGACTAGCTCTTTCAGTAGTGCCTATATAAGGCCTACTATTTCCCTCATTTAGCTAGCTCCTTAGATTGAATACAAATAGACATTTAGGGGCCTACACATAGTGGGAACCACGTCTTCCGTATCTCTCTCAAACCAACACTAATTAGTGATATCACAAATTACTTACTTATTCGAAATACCTTTTTACTCTTACTTCTTTTACTTCCCGTTGTTAGCACCATGACGTCCCGGGCAAGTGCTAGCGCTAATTTTAAGCAAGCCGGCAAGAAACCCGATCCTGACAAGAAACCCGATACTGGCAAGAAACCGGTTCCATCCGATAAATCCACCGGCATAGGAGGGTATGTCGATACAACGATCGACAGTACTGATCCTCTACAAGCAGGTTTCAGCACTTCTCACTACGAAGGTCTGGATACGACCAGTGCTCCTCCTCATCCTCAGCCTACCGCTCCCCCTGATCCTTACGTTCCTCCTGACAAAGCAACTGAAGAAAGAAAAGCTCAGGAAACTATAAAGGAATTGGGATTCAAAGGAGAACTTCAGGATTATTCTTTTCCAAAAGACCTCAATAAAGCCAGGCAGTTCTACAAAGGATATGCGTTCAGGTTGGGAACAGAGCACCATGCCGACGGATACTTTCTTTTTAGGAAGGCTGCGTATTCGGATATGGGGATCACCGACGCACCTCTTCAGGATACAGTCACATCCGATTTCGACCGCGTTCGTAGAGGCATATTAAGGAATGTTGACAAGTTGATATTATATGACTTTCGCACAGTCTTACGACGTCATGGAGTTTACGTTGATATCAATATGGGTATCGAGGACGCTCTTGCGGAAGTGTTTGACCGCAACAAGTATCACGATTGGACTACGAATCAACTCCTGGAATATCAGTCTAATGAAACACAACCATTCGTATCGACGAAATGGGCTCACCTCCCTGTCGGACTCGGTCCGAGACCACAAACCGAACCTCCCGAACCTCAAGACGGTGACACAGCTGGTCAACTAACTTTGCCAAAACCTGGCAAAGTTACAGGTAGCTCAATGATGGGAGGACCAGCTCCATTCCAATCTCCATTCCAATCTGGGGATGCACGAAATACACCTTTACCAGGTTCTAGGGTTCCACCGGTTGACGCTCCTGCAGGATCACCTGATGACGATGACGATTCAGATGATGATGATGATGACGGTGGCCGAGGTGGTAGAGGCGGTAGAGGTGGTGGCAGAGGTGGTGGCAGAGGCGGTGGCAGAGGTGGTGGAAATGGGGGTCATTATGATCGTCCCAACCGCTGGGAAGATGATCAACGCAATCAGAGTCGCTGCCTTATTGATCTCTCTAAGATCTACAGAGATGACGACAGGTATAAGGGTATCGACGATTCCTTTCAGTTGAAGATCTCCATATTTGCGGAGCATTGCCGTAGGGTATTTGTACCAACCGAGATGACTTTGACGGCATTCCCCATCATGCTCTCAGGCGCCGCTAGAGACTTTTATCAAGCTAACCTCAGTACTCTTCCTAAGACGTATGATGGTGTATGCGAGATGATGGTCAACAATTTCGAAGGACCTGAACATCAGCGAAATATGCTTCTCAAGTGGAACAGAGTCACTTTCAAGGACTACATCGAGAAGAACCCGACTAAGGAACCTCAGGAAGTGTTTAATACGATGATCACGGATTTACGCTTTATTCAGCATACTATTCCCAGCAATATGCGCGACTCCCAATCATACTATATTAGGATCTTGTCTGCATGCGACGGTGTTCCGGAGTGCTATTCTGCAATATGCAACCCTCGTTCAACTACTACAGAGCTCATTAACCAGATTAAGCAAGCTATCGATTCTTATCGAAAAGCATTTCCGAAGCAGGACACATCGCCTGAGACATTCCTTACAGATCGACGTTTCTACAACAATGGATCTTCGGGCTCCTCCTCCCGGAAACCTTATAATAAATACACCGGACGACGACCTTTTCCTGCACCGGCTGATAAGGGCAAGGACGATTGTTACTTCCCTGGTTGCAAGAAGAAGGGCTGTAGATACTACAAGCATACACAGGAGGAGAAAGACCGACTTAAGACGGATTACCGTACCAAGTACAGCAAACTCGACGACAAGAGTTTTACGAAGCAATACGAGCAGTTCGTCACTGATATCGGACAAGAAGATGATCAAGACGACGATAGTGACGATGATAGTGACGATAGTGATGATCATCTCATTGATCAATATCTTACTGATACAAGCGGTTCTGGAGGGGTCTCCAGGACATTCTTTACCTCCATGGGTGCTTGTGATGGTTCTTCAGTGGCGACTAATCTCAACAATGCTGCAAGCGCTCATAAGTTAACAGCTGAGACGTTCAGTACGAACAACGAGCGATACGGTGCTGATACGTTCTTTGGCATTATGATCGATACGGGTGCAGCTGAGAGATCATCTGTCGGATACAACCAGTATTTGGCATGGAAAAAGATCGAGGATGTTGAGTACGATACAGCTACTGCTGGGCAGGTGACAATCCAGTACGGCATTGGAGCAACGACTTCCATCGGTTCGTTTTACACTGAGCTTCCATTTGGGGAGGTAGAATGGAACGTGATGGAAGCCGACCTTCCATTCTTGCTCTCTTTGGCCGATATGGATAGACTTAGGTTCAAGTATGACAATCTTGATGATGTTGCTATTACACCTAAAGGCGTCTATCCTGTATATCGACGATTTGGCCATGCATTTCTGCTATGGAACGTCAATATCGAGGGATTGATTAGTCATTCTGTTGGTAGTAATGATTGCTATCTCACCGAAGTTGAGCTGCGACGAATTCACCGTCGGTTCGGCCATCCATCCGCGCGCAAGTTCCATAAGGTGCTTAAACGCTCCGGGCACGACGAGGACTTTGAGGCGATCAAACAGCTTACTAAGTTTTGTCACCATTGTCAAGTCCATGGTAAGTCGCCCGGCAGATTCAAATTCTCTTTGCCCGACAAGGATTTTGAGTTCAACCATACCATACTTGTCGATGTGCTTTATATCAACAATGATCCGATCCTGCATATTGTTGACGAAGCCACACGCTTTCAAGCCGCTCGATGGCTAAGCAACGTATCTGCGAAGCATACATGGGATAAACTCCGGGAGTGCTGGATCGACACATATGTTGGTCCACCAGAGTATATCACTCATGATGCTGGTACCAACTTCGTCGGAAAAGAGTTTCAACAACATGCTACGTCAATGTCCATTCAGACAAAGACAGTCCCTGTAGAGGCGCATCATTCGATCGGTATTGTTGAGAGATTTCATGCACCATTGCGCAGATCTTACGAAATTATTTACGAAGAAGTTCATAAACTCGGTGTTCGCAAGGCAGCTATACTCCAGATGGCTGTAAAGGCAATCAACGATACTGCTGGACCTGATGGTTTAGTACCTACCTTACTCGTTTTTGGGACATTTCCCCGCATGGTCGACACCAGCCCTCCGACACCTACTATTCAGCAGCGTGCTGCCGCGATCTCTAAAGCTATGATAGAGGTTCGCAGATTACATAGTTCTATGCAAGTACGAGAGGCCTTGAATACACGCAATGGACCCTCTACGACTGTACTTCATGATTTATTGCCGAACAGCAAGGTTTTGGTCTGGAGGGAGGGCAATGGAACAGCTACTGGTGAGTGGAAAGGACCTTTTTCACTCATTAGCATGGAAGGGGAGACATGTACTCTTGATCTACCTCATGGACCTACAAGGTTTAGGTCTACATCAGTAAAACCGTATTATGAGCGATTAGAAGCTGGACGTATTGAGGAGGTTGAGGAACTTGATCATGATATTGATCCCGAGGTAACTTTGCCAAAATCTGGCAAAGTTATATCGCCTCCTTCAGCGGTCACACGTGCGACGAACCCAGAGGAACCCCTCTTGGATTTATCCAAGAACGACCAGATTCCTACTCCGACATCTTTCCCGCGAGTGGTCATACCTCAGATTCGAGCTCATATACAGGATTACCACCCCGAATGTTTTGCTGCCGATCCCAAGGATCCCATCATGTATAAGGAGTCCAGGAAGAAGGAAATTGATGGATTGACGGCTAAGGGTGTATTCGAGGTTGTACCACTTTCGGATGTTCCTTTTGGCACGCGTGTTTTCAAGTCGCGGTTTGTCGATGAGATCAAGAACAAGGGGACGGATACTGAATTCCGCAAGTCGAGGCTAGTCATTCAAGCATATAATGATGCTGATAAGACGTCTGTATTGACACAATCCCCGACAATCCAACGATCGTGTCAACGCATTCTAGTCTCACTAGCCGCGAGTACTCGAAAGACAGGCACAGGAGTGTATATTCGAGATATCACTCAGGCGTACACTCAATCCACTTCGAACTTGCATCGCACTTTTTATGCCCATGCTCCGGAAGAGATGGATCTACCAACCGGTATGATTTTACTAGTTGTTAAACCATTGTATGGTGTTCCTGAGGCAGGAAACCATTGGTTCCGAACATACCATACTCATCACTGTGAGAAGCTTAAGATGCAACAATCCACGTATGACCCTTGTCTATTGCATACTAGTGATAAGGGGACTGGATTCGGCATTGTAGGACTTCAAACAGATGATACACTCATCGTTGGGGATAGTGCGTTTATACAAGCTGAGGACGAGCAACTCAAGCAGGCTGGTTTTATGGCTAAGGATCGCGAGGAACTCACTCACGACCACCCATTGAAGTTTAATGGTGTCACTCTTACACTTAAGGGCGATGACATTCATCTCGACCAGGAGAAGCAATGCGACAATTTGCAGCTTGTGTCTACTGAATCCATGGATATGCATGGTACGCGTGGCAAGGTTCGGAAGCATGCTTCTACACATGAACAATATGTTGCACAACGAGCCCGCGGAGCATACATTGCGACTATGTGCCAACCTGAAGCATCTTTCGATCTGTCCATGGCAGCACAGACAACCCAACCTGGCAAGGATGATATTGCGGCGTTGAATAAGCGTATCAAGTGGCAAAAAGAAAACTCTGCCAGAGGACTCAAATACGTACCACTTGACCTAGATTCACTTAAGATTGTTGTCTTTGCTGATGCTTCTTTTGCGAATAATAAGGACTATTCGTCCCAAATAGGCTATGTGATCGTAATGATGGATAAACACAACAATGCTAATATCATTCATTGGTCGTCCATCAAATGCAAGAGAGTCACACGCAGTGTTTTAGCATCTGAACTATACGGATTAGTTCAGGGATTTGACATCGGTGCGGCAATCACTTCTACAGTTAGCGCCATTCTCGGCAAGGAGATTCCATTAGTTTTGTGTACTGATTCCAAGTCGCTATACGACCTACTCACGAAGCTGGGAACGACTAGTGAAAAGAGACTAATGATCGACATCATGGCACTACGTCAATCCTACGAGCGGAGAGAGATCGTTGAGGTGATCTGGATTGATGGTCCGACTAATCCGGCCGATGCGATGACGAAAGGAAAGCCGTGTCAAGCTCTTGCTGATCTGATCAATACGAATAAGATCGATATCAAGGCAATGAAGTGGGTGGAACGGGATTAGGGGAAGGGATTGGTTCTGCCGGTAAGAGGTCAGGGACTTTAACCGGCAGATGGAGGATATTTATGATTTCACGAATTTCTTTTCTGCCATTGTATTTGAAGCCATAAAAGAGAGTTCCGAGTGTGTGGACAAGGGAATTCACTCAAAGGAATTCACTTCAAAGGAATGACTTCCATACAATGGCAACTGTATTAAAGGTATTAGGCGAAAGCGAAGGAGACTAGCTCTTTCAGTAGTGCCTATATAAGGCCTACTATTTCCCTCATTTAGCTAGCTCCTTAGATTGAATACAAATAGACATTTAGGGGCCTACACATAGTGGGAACCACGTCTTCCGTATCTCTCTCAAACCAACAGAAATTAATAAAATAAAAAGAAAAGAAATATAATTATTAATTAAAACTCAAAATATTGATTGATATATTTCTTTTTGAATCATCTCAAAAATTAAAATTTATATTCAATATAATAATATTTAAAAAACAAAAGATTGAATTCTGAAAATTAATTATTATTCAAATTTATTAGAATACTTTTAAATTGAATATAAATTTCAATTTTTGAAATAATTCAGAAAGAAATACATCAATCGATGCCTTGAATTTTAATTAATAATTATACTTCTTTTCTTTCCATTTTATTAATTCCTTTAAGGTTGTATACTGAATTGAATATTTTTTCTATATAAAAGCACACCACTAAGTTCTAAATATATTTTTAGCTTAAGTGAAAATCTATTTTTGGGGTTTTGGCCAAATGATTCAAATCGGCCTCAGTATCTACCTACATACACATATTATCGACTATTATCGAGTAACCCCTATTCATCTTCTTCCAAATCACAACACCAACATCAATTCCAACTTTCTACTCGTACTGACTGTGCTTCTCCATTGATGATGGTGATAAGAATAGATATTATGATGAATGGATGTACTTACTAGACACCTATCTCCCTGTCCAGGTCATAATAAGCCTGATCCATCAGAATCCCAATTGTACCTTGACTTTCAATTCTCATATTCTCATATCAATCGCCTACACTTATTACACCCACACGAGCCACACCTCCTTCATCCAGGTACTCCATAGCTATCCATCCATATCAAACATATCGTGTCCAGATCATTATGTGATCCTCTTAAATTCAACCCCAACCAATCAGATCATCACAATTCATCAAGAGGTAAAAGTAAGAGAGAGCAGCCATCAATGCTTTTAATGAAAGATCGACTTAATTCACTTAAACTTAACTTTACACTCATTTTTTCCATCTTCATACCCATTGATATTCTAGAAGTCCTTTAGAGAAAAAAAAGGTACCTACCCCCATTGACAATCCATTAATCTCATCAATCCTTTGGGGTCAAGAAGAGCTTGTTGGCTTAATTTAAATCGGTATCTATCCAATCTGCGACACGAGCCGAAGTACATACATACATAACCAGCTACGACATCAAACCTCTTGTGACAGACACCCCAGAACTCCAGATTCGACAAATGCGCTCGTAGGATCTTCACAAAACTATCGATTGAGGACAACCTTTCGAACAGTACAACGGCGCCATGGGCCCAGTCCGCTCTTTACGGCGTACAAACCCACTCACTTTGATTGTGGGTGTGGTCTTATGTATCATCATATTCGTCTTTCTCTTTTCCCCATCCAACGCCGACGCAGCAGCTTCGCAATTACGAAGAGCCAGCGCCGCATCCAATCCCCTCTCACCACCTACCTCTCCCTTTCGCAAACAAAATGAAGCTACAAAGAGCGGGAAACGCATACCACCCCCTGTGGTTCATTACCACATGAATAATGTTACCAGTACCGCCGATCCTTTGGGGAACCGAGAGATGATTCTCATCTTGACACCTTTGGCAAGATTCTATCAGGAGTACTGGGATAACCTGTTGAAGCTTTCGTATCCGCATGAACTCATCACTCTCGCGTTTATCATCCCACGCAACAAGGAAGGAAATGCCGCTACAGCAGCGTTGCAGGAACAGGTTACCAAGACTCAGAAGTCGGGCCCGGAAAAGAATCGTTTCGCCAGTATCATTATCGAGCGACAAGATTTCGATCCTCCCATCGCATCCCAATCCGAAACCGAGAGACACAAGATGGAGAATCAAAAGGCACGAAGAGCCGCCATGTCCAGAGCGAGAAACTCCCTCCTCTTCACAACTCTTGGACCCTCCGTATCGTGGGTGCTATGGTTAGATTCGGATGTTATTGAGACGCCTCCCACCTTGATCCAAGATCTGGCTTCGCACGATAAAGCGATCATTGTGCCAAACTGTTTCCAAAGATACTACGATACTAAAGATAAACGCATGTCGGAACGCGCCTACGATTTCAACAGCTGGCAGGATAGTGATGTGGCACGAAAGCTTGGGGAATCAATGGGTCCGGATGATATTTTGTTGGAAGGTTATGCGGATATGGCGACATATCGAACATTGATGGCATATCTTGCCAGTGACACTGGCGATTCCAAGGAAGTGATTCCGCTCGATGGGGTAGGAGGAACGGCATTGATGGTTAAGGCAGAGGTTCATCGTGATGGGGCGATGTTCCCTCCATTTGCATTCTATCATTTGATTGAAACGGAAGGGTTTGCAAAGATGGCAAAGAGATTGGGTTGGGAGGCTTTTGGTTTGCCTAATTATAAGGTATGTTACGTTATATTGTTCTCTCTCTTTGTTTCTCATGTCATAATCTTCTTTTACTCACGTACGCAAATTATAGGTCTACCATTTCAACGAGTGAGAGATGTCCGGCACATCACAATTTCCCACTCATATACCTTCTCACTAGATATTTGAAACGAGGAAAAGATGACATAATATTTTGGATGGATGGATGGATGGATGGATGGATGGACAGCAAGTTGCAGATGGGAAAGGAACTCTATCAGGAACAGCATACCTAGGTAGTCATGAGGAGGGAGGGAAATAAATGGTTGGTTGGTCTCATAACCATATCATACCTACATTGTGTATCAAAGCGTATGGTATAGGAAAAATAAATAGGATCGGGCGTTTGCTGTGTATTTTTTTTTGACGCGAGTGAATGAGAATTTCAATTGTATTATTTTTGTGGAATTATCTGTTTGTTTGTTTGTCTGTCTGTCTGTCTGTCTCTCTGATAGAGTAGTGAAAAGAAGATGAATCTTTTATAATGACATTTTCCTCATTATATACCTATATATACCTATATATATGAATAAATGAATAGATGTATATGAGATGAGATGAAATAAACTCTGAATATATAGATATATATAAATATATATAAATATATAATTCTTATATTTCTTAATCTATTTATTAATAAGTATTATTTATTTATATAAATAGAGATAAATAAATAGATAAATAAATAAATAGAGATAGATAAATAGACGGATAGATATAGATCTGATGAATAAATAAATATAGAATAGAAAGTGAGGGGTGAGGGAGAGAAGGGAGTGAGGATAGAGGAGGGAAGAGAAGGGATTGAGGATAGAGGAGGGAAGAGAAGGGATTGAGGGGGATAGAGAGGGGGTGATTGTCGATGATTTGGTTTCTAGAGGCGAGGATCGATTGGGGCTGGGGTTGTGGGAGATGGTGTGGGAGATGGAGTGGGAGATGGAGTGGGAGATGGTGTGGAAGATGGTGTGGGAGATGGAGTGGGAGATGGAGTGGGAGATGGTGTGGAAGATGGTGTGGGAGATGGAGTGGGAGATGGTGTGGGAGATGGTGTGGGAGATGGAGTGGGAGATGGAGTGGGAGATGGAGTGGGAGATGGAGTGGGAGATGGATTGGAAATGAATTGTATGGATATAGATATAGGTATTAAGAGGATAAGGAGTAGTATGAGTATGAGTATGTATTCGAGTATGTATTCGAGTATATATTTGGGTACATATGTATTTACAATATTACTCATTCCCCTCTTGCTAACTCATCAAAGCATTGTGAATCATAAAATGAGAATTCAAAACCATACATCATACATTAATAACCTACTCGTATCACATCATAAAAGACTCATCAAAACTCAAAAAAAGTATACAATTTATCAGCTGACAAACCGGCCAGCAAAAGTCATAATATTCGTATCTAAGTCGTAGCTACTGTAAATAGTCCCTAAAATGTATATTCTTTGATTGATCTCTAAATCTCCAACGCCCATTCGCCTAATATGCAAAAACCAACGCCTTAAAGTTCTAAATGAGAAAATTCCGCATCATATCTTGTTGATCTCGGGTTGTATGTGGTAAAAAAGGTATTAAATAATACAATATGTAGTAATGCACGTCTTGTAAAGACAGGGAATTGTATAACAAATTCGCGTATAACCAGAGGCAATTGCAAGACAATTAAAAACATTTACATGCCAAGCATGCTCATTTGTCGTCTCAGGGGACTTGCGCTGAGACTACTGTCTTCGCTACCGTAGCAGGCCGAATCAGTATCAATATCCCACTCAGCTTCCTCTTCTTTGTTTTCCTCGGTACCATCCCAAGCCTTTTGCATAGCACCACGAGTATTCCATCTTAAAGTTCTGGATACACTGTCAAACCACTCTGACGGAGAGCTAACCACGGTGGGGAATGGGTATTGAGAAGCGGCAATAGTGACATGGTCACCTTGCTTCAACTCAACACGTCCCTTTCCATCGAACGAACAATAAGCGGTGGCTCTAGAATTGCGTGGAATGGATACTCGGAGTAAAAGTGTATCTGAGAGAATCATTGGCCGGAATGAAAGAGTATGAGGGCAAATTGGTGTGAGGAGGATGGCAGGAATATCTGGGTGGACAAGTGAGCCACCAGCAGATAATGAGTATGCGGTTGAACCAGTAGGAGTCGAGAAAATACATCCGTCGGCTTGGACAACAGTCAAAAGCTCATTGTCACCATATAACTCGAGGTTAGAGATGTAAGAAGATGGTCCTCGGTCAATAACGAGTTCGTTGAGAACCTCAAATTGTTCGCCTTCTACCGCCTCGTGACCTTGTTCCTTTCCATCCCGGTATATCGTACATGTGAAACGCATACGAAGGTTAACTCGCATACCTTCCTCTCCCATGACTTTGTTCAAGTGTTCCTTGAAACGGTCATATTCAAATCCAGTCAAAAAGCCAAGACTGCCGAGACTGAAGGATAAAATGGGTGGAACAACACGTTGGAAGAGCCACGAAGTAAATAAGACAGTACCGTCCCCACCCAAAGTGAGAACGAGGTCAAATTTCTCCGGTTGACTCCAGCAAAGATCTGGCGACCAGTATTTCAAAAGATGTTGGAATCGAGGTTGTGATTCAATCAAGGCTGCTGCTCCAAAACGCTTCGAGTTGCGCAACTTCGCATCAACGTAAACATTAACACCCAGGTCTGAGCCATATCGTGGAGTACTCATGAGCCAAAGTGCTAAATCCTTGGTCAAATTAACCAACTGATTATCTCTGGCCTTGGTAACAATCATGACATTGCGGACGGCTCTCTTGATAGGGCGCCTTTGCAATTGCTTAGAAACTTCTCGCACACCAGTAGCCGTTGCCATGAGTCGAGAATGTGACATTGATTCGTCTCCGTTGATCTCTTCAAGCACCTTATCGATATTGACAGCGTCATCGAATCGTTGATGGTAAAAGCATGGTGATTGTAGCGAGGGAAATCGAGCTGTGACCGGAGTGTTTCGCTGTGCCAAATCCGAAATTGCTGCATTGAGTTTCTGCGATGAGGCAGTCCCCGGTCTCTCAGTAGATGGCGCTTTCATGTTTGCTAAAGAAAGATTTTGTGGATTATGTTGTTTCGACGATGCCAATGCTTTCATAATAGTCTGGCGAGGTACAGCGTCGACAGATAGAGCGTTCTTGCAATGGTTATGGAACGTTCGGGAAGCCCGTGTAGGAAATACCGGTGATGACGGAACAGAAGCCGAATCGCTTCCTACAGTTGTTGCAGCGGAAAAAGTTGTGGATGGGTCAGTCGATGATTCGAAAAGATCATTATCTGGGAAGTTGGTTTCAATGGCATTCAAAGAACCGAACTGTGCGCCCTGTTCGCGTCGGAGATTGTCTCCAAGATTAAGTTTCGAGTTCAAGGCATTGAAACCCAAAAAGGATTGAGCCGTAGCTGAAGGTGTAACAGCTTCATCGAATACGGACTGAGAAGGTTGTGGGGGATCATTGGGCTTAGTAAGAGCAGGATGAATCGAAGTCGGAGAGCGAATGTCGGACGTGGACATTGTGGATGATGACGCCAAATGCTTTTTGAGTAATCTTTTTTGAGTCGGAGTTCGGAAGTCGGTAGAATGTGTCATAAATGCCGACGAATCCGGGGGTGTGATTGGTGGATGCAAGGATTATCAAACAAAACTATTATTATCGATTGGGGTGTCAAGGGTGTCCGGGATAAATGCTGGGTAAATCGATAGTACGGAGTACAGAGCAGCCCTGGAGATTGATTGTGTGTAGATAATGCAATCTAGGTCGGATTCAGATCGATCGACGGGAGGTATCTGGAAGGAGAAGATGGAGACGATGGAGTCGAAGGAGATGGCTGCGAAGAATCAAGAGGTAATCTGCTTTCTGATATAACTCCTTGGCTGCTGTCTGATCTGACAAGAGGAAATACAGGATCGAAAGGATAGAAAGGAGTCGAGGAGAAGAAAAAGAAGTATAAGAAGAGAGGATGAAATTATAGATGAAGGGAATTGTTTGTTTTCAGTTTGCGGAGGCTTGTTGGTTGTGGATTCGACTTTGTTTTGCACAGACAGTCTTGATCAAAGAGGCCAACAGTCCGTATCGGGTTGTCCGTAAAGATGTGATTTCGGATACAACGGAGGTAAGAAGTGGATGTATCGTTTACCATTAGGTACTTTGAAAGATGGGCATGTACGGAGTATGATATAAATTATATCGCCAGGTGTGATTTCGGATCTTGGACTTGATTCCTTCGATTGGTAGTTGGCAGGTTGGCGGGCTTGTGAAAATGTAAAAAGACGCAGGAGAATATGTGATGTAGATTAATCTCGAGTAGCACAAATCTTGCCAAGTCGTAAAAAGATGTGATATATCTTGCTGTCGACTACTAAATGTGATCTCAAGTCAGTCAGTCTTCTTCGATTTCAAAATTTATATTGGTCCCCATTGCTGGTGCCAATGCTGGTGCCAATGCTGGTGTCAATGCTGGCTCTCAATCAATCCTTCCACCAATCCTAGGTAATCTTCATGATCAATCTTCAATATACTTCTACCCCACACATAGAAGATATAAATATGGATGTCCTCCCAGAAAAAGCATGTATGAATGACCCCATCGAGCCCATCCCGTCTTAACTCCACAAATGAAGTAATAGACTCACCTGATTGTAGTAAGCGAAACTAATAAGCCTTTCTATAAGCTTCTTAGGTGATATATCTTGCGTCTCGACAGCTTGTTGTGACCCTCTTTTGTGAAAGTGTCGAAAGTGTAGGGTATCGTGTCCAGTGATAATTCTCCACAAGGTGATAGTGATTCGGCGTGCAGAGGAACGAGACCAAAATAGTCAAAGAAATAACAACAAATGAAGATTAAGATATCTGCCCGTGGGAATGGAAAAGAAGACCGTCGTCCAAATTTGGAGTGCCGATTGGTTGGAGAAATAGAAGAGAAGTGAATTGATGCCGAATAAAACAAGCAATACCAAGCCAATATCAAAGTAGAAATGTGCTAAGATACAACGGTTCAAGAATCCACAACTGAAAAAGAAAAAAGAGACAAACAGAACGCACAAGCTACCAGAGCTTTGCTGAAAGAATCGAGTACTAAAAACGACAGATTGGTCTGATGGTGAAGACTAGAGAGAGACGAGAAAGGATGCTCCCACTGACAAGACTTCCCTTTCTATATGAAGTGAGTTAGCCTAGTTACGATACCTCTCCAGATTCCTTTCCTCGACATCTATGTTGTTTTGCCTTCACAACGGGACGCTGCACCTTCCAACACGGTTACAGCTGCCACTTCATTCTCCACTATGATCGTCAAATATGGAGGCGAGTTTTGAATCTCGAAAGGATCCAAGCTAGCGTTTTCAGTCGGGGTCCAAGGTCAGCATTAAGCATAGGGAACTCGCAATACTAGTAACATAACAGGTGCGAAGATGCAAGAATGGTGTTTGATATCACGAAATACTCTCAACTGCTAGTGAGCATGATATTATTGAAAGACTCATTTCATCGCGTATTGATTTTGCTGGCGAGTATTGTATTATTATATTATAGATTTCATCTGATCAACGTGTGGATCGGGAGTTACTCTCAAAAAAGTACAAAAGTCCCTGCGCAAATCTGCAATCGCAATTGAGTACTTCCTGGATTTCCTTGTCTGACTCGACTTAGAATACTCATCTCCAGTGAACGTTTGAATTTGCTACCTTTATCGGGAATGGTCGACGGAGGATGAAACGTGGGACCTTGACATGTTGTATCAGATTCCCGATACACACATCCTTTAATGCCTCGGATAACATTGTTTGCTCACATCTCTTCCGTAATTGGTACTCAGAAAAACGACCTTGATCCCAACTCAGATCGCGTTCATAACTCGTTTCGATATGCGGCACCAGCCCTCGTATGCATTTTTCACGTGTGGGCTTTCCCCGTTCCCGTATCCAAGATGAAACCACATTACGGTCCTGACGTTTGGATGACAGCGGTAACATTGATAGAACATTTTCAACCTTTCCAATGGAGATCGGTAGCAACTTTTTCTTGTACTGCCGACTTGACGAACATCATCATGCTTGAAGGTGCCTCATTCTCAAGCCCATCTTCATGCATGATATCATCCTCCGCCAATCCATGACCTTTGCAGCATAGACCCTTTCCATGCTCGTATACTTCTTCCCATTCATCCAAATCGAAACTTCCCTCACTTTCTGCAACAAGAAGCTCCCCGTGTGATGTGAATGCCAATACATGGACTGAAGCAGCATCTTGACAATCCAGAGGAGTAGGGTTTTCTATTATAGTCGTGCCTTTCTCGGTATTCTTCAAGGCAAGCAATACTGATGTCATGGTCATAGAAAGCGGTATAGAAGCGGATAATAAGGTCAGAACCGACGTTTGGAGGAGGGCAGGGAGTAAGGGAAGGTTCTAAATGATCATTAGCAATCGAAATATAGAACAAGAGTGTGGCACACACCGAGCTGGCCTGTACAAGTTTTGACCAAGCAGTATCATTTTCCGGTGTACTTGTAATTTGTAATGTAACTTGAATAAGGGTTCGGGGAAAATTGTGGATGAGGATTATTTGGCGTAAAGAAGATTGAAGGATTGCTTCAAGATGTCTCTCCCTGGTACCTAAGACGTAATCAGTTCCAAGTCTGTCAATCAAACAGTATTTCTATCAGAGTTACGCACCTCCAACACCAGCAGCTGGTCTCACTATCACATCTATAGCCGCTTCTTCTGGCAACTCATCACGTCTCTGAACTTCGATAGGACCGTTTACAGCGCCAATGATAGTATAACCATTTTGTGAGAAGCTAGCAGAACCATCTACTCTATGAAGAGGCGATAGTATGGTTGTAGGTTCGGTTGAGCTGACCATTTTGTTTGTTAGTATGGGGGGGCGTAGATGTGAAGTCCAGATTTATTATGAATGAGATTGAAATCTTTCAAAGCTTGAGCAGAGCTTCAATAATGAATGCGCTTGCACTGTTGAAATTGAATTGCAATTTTTTGTTATCGTTATCGCAATGTGCGCTAAACACTCCTTGGGAATAGCCTAAAGTCGCTGGCAGTGCCGTGGGGTTGGTACCTTTCGAGCTTGCCATGCCACTTCCTCTCCTTTGTAATCAACATCAACAATATCCAACAACATCAAGCATTTACAAGATGTCTTCAACCGCGGAGCACATTCAAAGTCCAGCGAATGGACTTAGTACTGGTATCCCCAACCTGCGCGATCGTCTTCCAAAATTAGAACCTCGCAAAAAGCGAAATGCACCATCGAATCCTCTTCCCGTCCCTGAGACACCAGATCTACCATCTCCTCCAGATCAGTCAAGCTTGAAATTCTGCAAGCCTACGAGACGAATTCTATCACCCAAGGATCATGATCTCTTCCTTCAATCTCCTACTTACAAATTGCTCTTAGCATTTGTCTTTAGTCTAACAGATTCAGTCATCGATACACCAGTCTCAGCGACTACTAAGACAGACCTCAGCTCCACCGTTACCGCTATTCTCGAAATATTAGACAAGGTTGAGGATGTGGTACAAAGAAGTCCGCCGGAAGAGCAAGGTGATTCAAGATTTGGCAACAAAGGTTTCCGCGATTTTCTCGATTTAGCTACAAAAGAGCATAGTGGATGGCATAAACAATTGGGTGTTTCGTCCGATGAAGCTATTGCCGAAATCTCTACATACTTTTTACAATCTTTCGGGAATCGCACCAGAATTGACTATGGATCGGGACACGAGTTGAACTTTATGATATGGTTATTATGTTTATATCAACTTGGAATAGTGACTCGTCAAGACTTCCGCCCGCTGGTCTTGAACGTCTTTACACGGTATTTGGAGCTTATGAGGACTATACAGAAAACGTATTATCTAGAACCGGCAGGTTCGCACGGAGTATGGGGACTCGATGATTACCAATTTCTTCCATTCCTATTTGGCGCTTCTCAACTTTTACATCATCCGTATATCCGTCCTTTGTCGATTCATCAAAATCTTATATTGGAAGAATATGGCAATGAATATCTGTACTTGGGACAGGTTAACTTTGTTAATAGCGTTAAGAATGTTGAAGGACTGCGGTGGCACAGTCCAATGTTAGACGATATATCTTCCGCGAAAAACTGGACAAAAGTTGAAGATGGTATGAGAAGGATGTTTGTGGCCGAGGTACTCAAAAAACTACCTGTCATGCAACATTTTCTTTTTGGTTCTCTGATACCAGCTGAGGATGGTATGAGCACAGAGGAAGAGTTCGGAGTTCCCAATGAAGAAGATGATGCGGAAGGGGGAGAGGTAGTCGTTATGCATGATGGAATGAGGCATGTTCATCAAATGAATAGTTGGGGTGATTGTTGCGGGATTAAAGTACCGAGTAGTGTCGCGGCAGGCCAGGAAATGAAGAAAAGGATGGGAAATGAAGGTCTGAGAAGAATACCCTTTGATTAAGATATGATATATAGTTAAATCAAATCAAGCTATAATATAGTATCAAAGGTTATGAGACTACTATTTTGCGCTTGCGTTTTAATTTGGCATTTCGACTCCTCGTTTGCATTTCGCCAATTTCGGCTTCTAACGAAGAGTGAAACTTCATCTCATGGCGTTTCTCAAGTCCTAGACAAGCCTTCCAAACCTTTCAGGCACACATATGAACATACCTTTCACCATATGTGGTCTAATTCATATTCCAGATTCAAGAAAACGCCATCGTAAGGCACATATTGAACAGTCGTATCGTATCTCATTTAGTATTATGATTCAGATAGCTGTATTTGCAGAGCCTTGATAGTCACCGGCATACAGACAATCGCAGCCTAATTACCCCCCTCGTACACATCTGATTTCCGGATTCTTATTCATCTACCGAGCAAGTGTCTTCATTCACCTCGTTCGGTGTCAAGATGATGACTACATAATCACCCTGATTTTTTTTCTCGGAAAGGGCAGGACTCCCCTCCTCTCTCTCTCTCTCTCTCTCTCCTGGTTAGATATTGAGAGTTCGACCTCTTTGCTATATAGGATTTCTGATTCCCGTCTTTTTGGTATGACTAAACTGTCATAGGCTACATGTAACTCTGCATCAACTGCCATCCAGATATCAAGAGCCTCTGGAACAACCGGAACAAACACTGAATACAGGTGGCCAAACACTAAGTTGCAAATTGGTACCGGCCGCCAGAATAGTTGTATACATTTATTCAAAAATTAGTATCTTGAATAACTTTCAATAGAACGACCCTGTCTTCTATACAAATTCCGAATTTCGGTAGCGAGACTATGATCCGAGGACTTGAAATTGATAGCGAAATTTTGCATTCGGATGGCTTTTTTAATCTCCGAACTGTAAGAATATAAGATTGATGGGGGGCGTGAAGGGCTTCTTTGCTCTGCGTAGTACTACATGCTAACATTTTTTGCGTCATTACTACGATGAAATGGAATACACACGCGTTGAGCATAGCCAAAATTCCCAGCTGTGTGTTATCAACCCCGCAGAGTATCCTAAACTCTAATGTTCTTGAGGTTTCGGTACTGGTATGAACTCAAAATATGGAATGTAAAGCAAAGTATTGATTACAATTCATGAGCATTTGTTTCTTCTACTCTATGAACTGCGCGTGCGTTTCACTTGAAAGAGCTAAGAGGATAGATTCTGTCAACTAAATTTCTTTGGCAAGAAACTATACTTCTAACGAGTTAGACTCCAATTCCAATTGATGAATGCTGGGAGCTGTCAATAGGGGATTTTTACCGATGCTTATGGCGCAACAAAGGGTAATCATGCTACAAGTAATGCAAGTGCGAACGCAAATAAGATGGATGCTTTTATTGGATAGAGAATTAAAGGAACAGCTCCCGGAAGAGCAAGATAGTCGAATTGGAGACTTGGAGGTGGTGAATGTTGTATTGAAGGAGTTACAGGAATTGGCAAATAAAACTCGTATTTAAAGTAGCTAAGTCTGAGTGCCAGTCAGATCAAGATGTATCAACTTCATCTTGTTAGTCTTACATAGCGAAACACTATAATAGCACCAAAAGGTTTCGACTAGTATTATTGAAATCGAATGTGGTTGAAGGCTCAACAATGTGATGGAGTAGATCTTGAGATTTGGACATTCACAATATGAGGTAATGAGAAAAAGAGAGGAGCTTTGAAAATGATGAAGCTACGAAGGTGTGTTGAAGGAAAGGGGAAGGAGGGGATGAGATGGCACATCATAAGATGAATTAGCGATATGAAATGAAGGGGTTTTAAGATGGGAGTGTAAGATGTGACATGAAAACTGTGTCTACTTGATAGTAAACTATTGGATGATTGCTTCTGGGGCGCAGGGGTTTGTTATAGACTGGTAGATTTGGCTACTTGATACTTGGACGAAGATGATGACAAAAAAGACCATCATCTTTGCTGTGAGTTTACAAAGAGAACACTGTGAATATTGAAGCAGAGATACAAAGATATTTGGACTAGACTATTCATAGAGGATTGAAGATAGTTTGATAGTATTCAACGGTCAATATAGAGGCATTTCTTTCAGGATATGCACTGGAAGCAAAGAGTGAGATATGTGGTTGACGACTTGGTTGAGATCAGCATCTAACACCACCAGCGGTCGCTTCGACCCTTTCTCCTCTGAAAATAATACTTGGACCAAAACCACACATCAAATCTACCTGATACTTCTCATATTGGAACAAATCTGGAGGCGAATGAACATATCCTACATCTGACGAGGCCAGAAGTTTTCGTGGGAGTTACATTTCCGAATATGAGACTTGCGATGAAGGGAGTCTAGAATTTGCCAGAGCGGTTTGACGTTGACCGAACACCTAATTCTCTTCGACTCCAGAAAGTGACTCGATCACGGATACTGATCCGTCTCATCAACCAGATTCACGTTTTATGTCTTCGGGTGCGTATCCGGTGAGCCCGGAAGGATTTTGTGTAATCAATGCATTAAGCCATCGGCATGTACTCTCTGACGATTCCCGAGAAGCTGAATTCTGGAGAGAAGGAGAAAGGCATTGTGAACTAACTATTCGGACTGTCAAGTGTGAAGCATGAAGCGGTGGGGTCGGTGGTTAAAACATCATTGACACATTTCTTGACCGAGTACCGGCCGCGGTTCTACCCCGCACCTTCCATATCGGACGTGTTCCCGAGTCAAAGTGCAGTGCAGGTACAAAGCAAAGAGTGTTTATCATCATCGTCACTTGAGCGATAAAAACGGTAAAAATAAAAGAGATTCAAGAAGACAAATACCAAGACGCGGATAAAAAGTGGGATGTGCTCATAATAGAAATTTCCTATAATAACAATATGTAACAGTAAATAATATATGACGTGAAATTTGCTCGAGGTTGAGTTGCCGCGGACATGTCCCTTCATTTTCTAAACTTTCCACTTACGGTACTCGTGAGGAATGTCAAGACATTGATTCCATTCAAGAAATAAATCTTGGAACTACGGTATTGGGGTCCAGATTCTACAGCTTTTGGGAATCCTAGATCCCGTTCCATTTTATTTTTTTCGTCCTCTCAGATTTATTCGGTGAAAGGAAAGAGAAATGCTCAGCCCGTTGTGTGGGTGGGCGAAGCATTCGGTCCTCTGGACTTTTACCGCAGCAGGAACGCCATATTGTTTGTGAAACAGGCTGGAAGCTAGAAGACGATATGTATGGATCACTAGGAGGACAAGGCTGTTGATGGATGACTGTCAGATGTAGAGCCAAAGAACTAAACGAAAGAAACGGCTACGGTGGACCATTTCAATTGTAAAGACAAATTGCTAGATGCTATCAGATCAAGGCTATGCAATTTTTTTTGAACTTTTGGAATTTGTGATTGGATGTCAAGGGAAGAACTGAAAAGTGAACATCGAGGGGATTGAGCTCCCAAGTTTTTTTCTTTGAAATCGATCTGATCCACCTTGTTTGTGTTCGGCGGCTGTACGGTTACGACAAGCGAACGATGAAGGGGCCTGGGGGCATGTCATATAAACTGGTATCTTGGCCATTCTTGATTTCTTCTAAGCTTTAGATGATATCGATTGATGGGTTTCTACCATTCCACCAATTTGCTGGTGGAGAATGGCTCGAAAATGGGTCGCGACTTTCTCCTCCGTCTTGTGTAAGCGCCCACGGCCCTTGTGCTTACGGCCCCATCTTGAGGTCCCCCATGGTTAAGACCTTCCTTTCGCTTGAAAAAGACCAATTGATGATTGTTACCCGTAAGACTTAAGCCTTTTGAAACATGAAGCCAACCCATTTCCTCCCAAAGTAACCTTACTGGACGGATAACCAATTAGATATTGGGATTCTCTAAACATTTCTTAGCTTTCTTAATCGGGATCGTGCTTTAGATGCAGGAACTCGGGAGCTCATCTTCGGAGGGATGAGAGGGCTTTGAAGGAAGGAAGAATAAAGTAAAAAGGAAGTACGCTTAGGTTTGATTGTTCGAATGAATGATGCGTTTGCTGGCTGTGCAAATGTATAGAAGTTCCGAAAGACGATTGAAAAAAAGTGGTAGCTTTGGATGAATAGTTCCTGACATCATAAAATGTACACAGCCGCTTTCCCCATCATACCTAGGTACTATGCCGACTTGCCATGTCATGTCATGGAAAAGACTAAGACCTGGAAGTTTTGGGCTGATTTGAAGCTTGAGTTGAATGAATGAATGCTTGGTCTGCCTTGCTCCAGTAAATGGGTTTGTATACCTTGAGCTGTACTTTGCCATACAGAGTAGTTGAGTAGGCATGAAGATGATGGATGGTTCGTGACTTCTATTTCCAACAAATGTTGAAGAATGTCTCATTTTCGACACCCTTGATGAAGCTTTATGACCCTTTCATACCTCGTAAATCATTTTGGGGTTGTAGATTCCCTTGAACATTCCCTTGTAGATTCCCATGGCAAATGATTCTAGTTATGGCCAAATTGATGATATTCGATCAGCCCAAGTAAAGGTGCCTACCCACTTGTGCGTTTCCACTCTCACCCAACCCACCCAACCCACTCTTTGTACCAGTATCCATCAGATCGCCTGGTTATCTTTTTATATTTGTGCTGGGAAGATTGCGCGCAGTCAAGACCCAAGGTCGTTTAATTTTTGCTTCCTCCTCCACCATTCAACTTTGCTCCACCAGCTCGTCTTTTGCTAGACTATTCCCTTTTTCATCTAATTCAACTCCAGCTATTCTTTGGATTGTTGTTATTATTGCTTCAGCGTCAAATTTTTACATTTGGTCGTCAAACTCGGAATTTAATCGCTGGCCCTTGTTCCTGGGCCTGTGAATCCGTTCATTCTCCCGTTGACCAAGTCCCTGTCATCTTGCTTAGCTTTTAAAGAAGCTCGCGGAAACTAGGAAATTTATAGACAGATCAAGTTAGAGAAAAAATAAGGCTTTCTGCTATCAATCTCCATCTCTCTGGAACACCAACAACAAACAACTTCAACACTTTTGGATTCGCCCTTTACGAGTATCCTTCCCATCGTTTGTTAATGCTTGAGAAAATCTATTTTTTCTCGACCTCATCTCAATTAAATACAAAGCCCGCCCGCCACAACCACCACCACTCTTCCCATTAGATTAGATTTCTCATCACCGGGACAAGCACTCTCACTGCTTGTATCGAACCTGGAACACTGCTTATCTTAGCCTTAGCGCCTAAAAGTTAATCGCTGCACGCCCCCTCAGCTCCAAGTCCTTGTCCTGTCGATTTAGTACCACACCCCCCAGTTCCCGCCAAAGGCTTTCTCTCACCCCTCCGACTCCTCCTCTTTCAATCGTTCATCCTCATCCCTTTTTAACTCGTCCCATACTATCTCACAGGAGCCTTTACATTTGCTTTCTGTCAGCTCACCCACATCACCAATATTTTTATCTGTTCTCACGAATAGAACACATTCGACTGCTAGTTTCATTTTATCCACACGCATACCATATACCCCCCAAACTTTCAACATTCCGAATTCATTTCTTACTATTTCACATTGCTACTTCATTGGTATCATCCAGCGAACCAGTTCACCTCAATTGCAGTTTTGTGACCTGCATATAAGACCTGCAATACCTGCAACACCGATCCCCGAGGCTGCAACATGACCAGTACCTTGCTCATTACCTGTTGACCACACTTATAGCTGATTAGGCCTACAATAAGAAGACCACAGCTTTTTATACATATCGTACCCCCAAGAAATACATAGCCTCCTATATTCTCCACACGTTATGTCTTCATACACTTCCATCTCATCACATTTAGTCGACGCTCAAGTTCAATACTCGCGAGAAGAGACCGACTCTCTCTGCCTGAATACACATCACATAGCCAACACACAATTTGACCCTACTCTCCTGTCTCCGTACAATCAATCGCATACAATCAGTAATTCTACAAGTCCATACAACATTGGTAACACACCAGTCGAAAGTCTTTCCGAATTCAGCAACTTTGGTAGCGACTATAGCGAAATCGAGGACGAATTCTTTGGAGTGGATTTCGACGCCGGCGTGCAGCGAATAGATTCACTACCATCCAATCTTACAACATACCCGACGGAAGCGTATACAAAAGCCACACATCAGGTATCTTCGAATACTAGGAATCAAAAATCACCAGAAGCCCTCACAGCTTCAAACTATCCGCTCAGCCCAAAGAATACAAGTATTCCAAACACACCCTCCCCTAGAAGCGAGGTGAATGATAAGATCCATTCAATAATTACACATCACGAAATAGAGATCGACAACGAAATCAATCAATCGGGATTTCCATTTCCAGAATTGACATCGACACTTAATACACTGCAATTGACGCCAGAGAATAGCGGCAGCAGTCGCACGAGCGCTGAAGGGTTTGAACCAACCGGCATGGCTTTTCGTGCCCACAGTCCGCATGTGACTGTTTCGCATTGGGCCGAAGAACAATCTTCGGCTAGGCGCGATTTTGCGCCAAATGTGAATCAATACAGGGAGCCAGTGAAACCCGATTTTGAAGATTATCAATATCCATCCCAGAGTTTCAACCAGAGCTCCAAACCGACCGCATTGCGGAATGATGAAGGACTATGGAGTCCGAATGACACAACAGGTCTGGCGGGATTAGATCCTGAAAGTCGAAAAGCTTTCTCCGGCGCTGAAATTCCTAATCTGAAAGAACAAGAAGAGCAACGACATATCGATGACACGAATATACAGGTACACTTATGGCGCCAGAGAGGCAATTCAACCAGTGATCCAAATGTGCCGAGATCTAGAGAATCGACTTATGCTGTACAGGTTGAGCAGGCTGAAGTTAATTTGGCACCAGTGGATGATGCCGCAAGCATTAGAGAGAATAGGTTTCTTGATGGGCAAGTTTATTACAACATCAAAGGCGACTCCCCAACTGATGACGACGTGAAATTGATGAGCCAAATACGTCAATTCAACGATGCTCCTGCGCTACCATACATGACAGTCACCAACTTTCAAGCACCAGCTACGGCAAATGATGCCATCCAAAAGTGGAATGGAAACGCAGACACTTTCTCAATAATCTCACGTGCAGCAACTTGGGGCACGCGACGAAGAAGTGAGCCAAGCCTGATGGACTATGACGCCGTGGCTGATGGCAGTCTCCTCAAAAAATTGTCAATTAAGCCAGAAAGGAAAGGATCAGGGCGTTGGACTAACCTTTCAAACTTGGGACAACGCGCTGTCACTCGTGTGAGAAGTAACAGTAATCTCAACAAGAGAACTCGTAGCTCTTCAAACTTGCAAGGTTCTTCAATGGAGATTAAGCAAAAGCAAAACAATTCAAACAATCTAGCGCCACCACCAAGAACATCTAGCTTTGGCAAGAAGCCAACACCAAGTCTCAATACTGCAATAGCAGCAATTTCTGGAATCGGAACTGCGGTGGGTACAAGTGCACATCACACCCCACACACTCGTAATGGCTCTATGAGTGCAGTATCTCCGAAAAGCCCTCTCCTGAATCTACCCTTCCTTCGCAAGGACAGTGGACGGACCAGAAGTAAGAGCGATCTGTCGATTCGAGAAGGCGGATCTGCTACTTCGATATCTGCTATTGGTGAGCTCTGGAAGAAACAAGGTGGCCCACCTATTCCAAGTTTGGCTCCTCAGGTAGAGCCCGAGTCCGAAGATGATGAAGATGATGAGCAAGGCGATGAGGGTGACATCAGAATGGAACATACTCAATCGGAACCGATTGTTCCTACATATGAAGGTTTCAAGGAGCATGTAAGGCGGCTAAATCCCGACATGAATCCAAAGTTCGGTTGGCTTGTCAGTCGCATTGCTCATCAGCAAGAAATCCGATACAAGAATCTTCTTGATCAACGGGTAAAACACATGCAAGCCATCATGAATCAAAACTGTTCTGCAAGACCACATTGCATCGCATTGGGCGGAAGTGCTACATTATATGATGCCAAGGGAAAGAATCGAGAACATGACCGTAGTGCTGGTGGGCTACAACTGGTTACGGATTTTTCCGACGATTCGAACCCTGGTGATGGTGCTCTTTCTAGCGAAACTTTCCCCAAAGGTGTTCCATTACCACCAACCCGAAATCTTCCCGCAGAGTTTGAATGTCAATTGTGCTTCAAATCTAAGAAGTTTCACAAACCGTCAGATTGGACAAAGCATGTCCATGAAGATGTGCAACCATTCACTTGTACATATGATAAGTGTAGGGAGCCCAAGTCATTCAAACGCAAAGCCGACTGGGTTCGCCATGAGAATGAGAGACACAGGCATTTGGAGTGGTGGATATGTCAAATCGAAGATTGCAGGCATCCTTGTTATCGAAAGGATAACTTCCTGCAGCATCTGGTTCGTGAGCACAAATTACCAGAGCCTAAACAAAAGACAAAAGCAGCCATCAAAAAGGCCAAACATACCGAGCAAGCTTGGGCGATGTTAGAAAGATGTCATCACGAAACAACAAATAAACCACAGGACGAGCCCTGCAAATTCTGCGGCAAATCCTTCACCACATGGAAAAAACTCACTGTTCATCTGGCGAAACACATGGAGCACATCAGTTTGCCAATTCTCCAACTTGTTGACCAGAAGAATGTCGATGCTGATACGATTATCAGCCCAATCGAACAAAATCTTACTCCCATAACTCCAATGGGCAAAACCAAATTCGAGGAGTCAAGTCCTTATGGCATGGAAAGCATCTCGCCCAACACCCCCATGGTGCCCCAGTTTAGTGCCGGTTTCCATCAACCTGCATTTTATTCTACGTCTGGCCCTTCACCAACGTATGTCATGGGAAACTCAATGACACACACCCCAATGACGCAAGGAAACCCAAGTGAACAATTTCCACTATTTTCCAATGCCAATGCCAATGCATATAGTGCTCAGCAAACAAACCAGCCGCGACAATTTGGCTCAATGAACTCTGCTAACCTTAACAATATGCATCACCCTACGCCATCATATATTAATACCGGCTTTGTCAGCAATAAAATTGACCAACCCCACTCAGCTTTTGGAACTATCGACACTACCAGTAGCTTTATTCAAAACAAGGTTGATCATCTACCTCATTCTGCCTTTGCTTCAATCGGTCCTAATTCTTTTCAATCCCAATCCAATCAGGATTTTAATCAGACACCTCACTCCGCCATCGGTTTCTCAATGAACCAACCTTTCGTTACGACTTCCCCTCCAGTTTCAACATATATGATGGATCAAAATACATTTGGCTTCGATTCTTTGAGTGTCGATCCCATGACCAACTTTCAGCAAGTACCCATGAGTCGTGCCCAGGGTAGCTCTTCCTCCTATGGTCAATCTCCTCAAAATCTACAGCATTCTCCTCATAACATGCAATATTACGGTCACCAATGATGAATGGAATGTATCTTGCTCCATACGATTTCTTAGCTCCACGGAGCCTTTTTCTTTATTTATCTCTTGGGAAGGGAGGGACGATTTTCGGTTTGCGTTTATGGGCCTTTGAACTGCAACGCCTTTCTTTGTATTGTAATTGGATATACCTCTTTTGATTTCATCTTTTATCGCATAGATACCACGGCATACATTTCTTTTTCTTTCTCTCTCTTGGTTGCTATCTTCTGATGTAGAAATTGGTGTTGGTCTGGGTGAAATGTTACGAAAGGATACCGAATTGACTCACAGTACTAAAGGCTCAATCAGACCTATTCTATGACGGTGTTACGAAACATGTGCATCTTCTTGTCCATTCTAATCATACTCGTCCAATGGACTAAAAGTTAGTAATGCAAAAGCTCAATTACAGTTGCCTGCTAGTTTACGCATGTGACTTTTCCTGTTTGACCAAGTATTATTTTCTGCTAATAAGTTCTTATAGAACCCTTGGTTTATGAACTATTGAAGCCTAGATTATAAGCCATTTAGCTTTAAACTCAGTTGACAGAAGTCGATCGTTTTAGCTCGTGCTAAACTGTCCCCACCTTGGCTAGTGCCAACGGTTGTGGCGTATCTTTAAGACAATCTGTCAACTCATATTTGGCTTGCGATGGTTGTTTTGTACAGCTGTCGTGTTTGTGTAGATTTGCGAGCATTTTGATAGGTGTCAAAGCATATCATCCATTACAGGAAGGTTAGCAATGTAGATGTAAGTCTCTGGTAATGAGCGGAACTCTCTGGGGTATGCGGAGTAGTTCGAGCCATTTCTCTGACTTGGATATCTAAAAACTAGTGTTGGGGTTGAGCTCCAGGTAATAGACCAGCAGCCAATTCTAACCTAATAGCCTACATTTGGCATTACTGTTATAGCCAATCCTCCACTAAGATAAGAGCCAAGACAATGGCCGAAAATCTTGTCCCCTAGAGCTCACCAATAAGAGACATAGTGCTATACAAGACATCAAGTTAGAGTTTCCCCAAGTGGGGAGAACTACTTTGAATTCAAAATTATCCGTCATTCATCGAACCGTCCATCAAGGTCATACACTTATGCTGCACGTCATGTGGGTAAAGTGGGTAAACATGGCATTAGATGACTTTGCAATCTGGGGTATCTCCGCATTCCAATGGCTATATAGTCTGAGCATCCCCCCTTCAGCTCGGTCCGCTCTATCTTTCAATTGAATTCAATATCTGTAACATATTCTAAACATGGCAACCAATAAATCGAACGAGGACAGAGATGTCCATCCGCATGACAATCCTCCTATTTCTTTCACGGAAAAACTCAGATGTTCTTTCCCTGCCACTGGTGGTTTCCTCTTCGGTTACGATGCTGGTTATATCAACGGCTGCCTTGGAAGTAAGTTGTTTCTGATGGTCTATCTATTTGTGTAAACATGTTAACCACCTCTCAATAACAGTGGACTACTTCAAATTGGCTTATGGCGAGCCTTCAAATGATCCCTTGGGTTACATGGGCTATATGTATCCTACCTGGGGTAAATCTGTCATAGTTTCCTTACTTTCCGTTGGCACATTCCTCGGTGCCCTTGTCTCTGGCTACTCGTCTGACCGATGGGGCCGTCGTAACACTATCCTCATCGGCTGCGCTATCTACTGCGTCGGTGTCGTCCTCCAGGTCGCTTATCCTGTTATTGGTATGCTGGCTGCTGGCCGTGCTATCGCTGGTTTTGGTATCGGTTTTGTGTCTGCCAACATCATTGCTTTTCAGACCGAGATTTGCCCCCAGAAAATTCGAGGTGCCTGTATCAGTGTCTATCAATTTGGTATTACAATCGGTCTTCTCATCGCATCAGGAGTCAATCAAGGTACCAAAGATATCCGAAGTAACGCCTCATTCCAAATTCCTATTGGGTTGCAGTTTGTCTTTGCAGCTTTTCTTTTTGTCGGCTTAATCCTCATTCTCCCCGAATCCCCAAGATGGTATCTCTCCAAGGGAAGAGAGGAACAGGCCAAGGCAGCTTTAAGGAGATTGCGTGGACGCGCTGATGGCAATGTATACCTTGAAAGAGAATATGCGGTTATGATTGAGGATACTAGGATAGAGCGTGCAAATGGTAATGGTGCATGGAAAGACCTCTTTGCAGGAGGTTTCCATCGCGGAAGCAATTTTTATAGAACTTTCATCGGTACAATGGTGCAAATGATGCAACAATTAAGTAAGCCTTCTCTCCCTGCCTTGTATATGGTCTTAGAATGTTTCTAATCACTATTATAGCTGGTGTAAATTTCATCTTCTACTATGGTACAACGTATTTCGCACAAGTAGGACTGACCAGTGTCTTCCTCTTGGCTACAATCACAAACGTTGGTAAGTGAAGTTCAATTACTGACAATCCTCAATGCGTAAACTAACACAGCACAGTAAACGTTCTCTCGACCCCTATCTCTTTCTGGACCATTGAAAGATTCGGCAGACGTCCGCTTCTCATTTATGGCGGCATCTTCATGTCTATATGCGAATTCATCATCGCCATTGTCGGCACTGTGCTCACCGATAACAAAGCCGCTCAATGGGTCCTTTTCGTCTTCGTCTTGGTCCACATCTTCTTCTTTGCCAGCACTTGGGGTCCTACCGCCTGGGCAGTATCTGGCGAGATGTTTCCATTGGCTCTTCGTGGTCGTGGAGTTGCTCTCAGTACCGCCTCTAATTGGTTTTGGAACTTCATCATCGCATTCGTCACCCCATATCTGGTGGGCGAAGAAAATGCGAATTTGAAAGCCAAAGTCTTCTTCATTTTCGGAGCTACCGGCTTCCTATCTGCTTTGTTCGCTTATGTCTTTATCTATGAAACTAAGGGACAGTCTTTGGAATCAATTGATCGTATGTGTGCGGATCCCCGCGCCAGAGACCCAAGACATAGTCCCGAGTGGACAAAGAATGGCAATGGTGTTACGGGTGCTGAGTCCACTGGAGCGGATGTTGAGGCTGGACAAGGAGTCTTAAGTCAGAGGACTCAGAGTAAGCAAGAGGAAGCGGTTCATCTGGTTGAGAAAGAGAATACTGCTAATCGCTAATTTGTGTTATCTAACTTCGTTTTACATTTTAGATTTGATATGGATATGGAAGTTTGATATATATAAATACATGCCCAATTAATATTTAACCTACGGCGGCGATCGGAGTTGAGGAGAAAGGGGGAGGTGGGGAAAATGGAGGGAGAGTTGGAGGGTGTTTTGATATATTAGTTAATTTGATTTAATATGTTACATATATTTACTTTGTACAATAGCCTTAATCCAGTCATCAAACATTCCTCTCTCAAAGATCTTCCTGTACTGGGATTGTCATCGTATCTAATATAATTTTTGTCTTTCTATGATATCCACATTCATCTTCATGCACATATGGTTTACGGAAAAGAAATCCCCTTTTTTTAAACATGCCACCGTCATACGTATTAGACCAAGAAGGTAGGACACGTCCAAATATACACTTGTGCCATATACCCCAATATAGTGATCACATGTCTCCTCTGTAGATAACTAAAGCCCGACCGACCAGACCTTCTCCCAGAAATCATAAATCATAACATCTTTCCTCTAGGTAGAGAAGTAAACCAGAGCATCATTCTCATTCTTCATATTCCAACAATCAAAGTAAACATATCCGAAGTTGGGAAGATATTCCAGCACCGTGTATTGTATCTCTACATGTAATTCTCATTATCATAGTTAACAAAATCCCACATTTCCGCACTATTCGAAATGAGGATTTTTGGATTCCTGATTACATCTAAGTGTTCGATGCAAGGAAGAAGTTGAACTTTCTCAGATATACATTTGTGCAAATACTCTCTTTCCCCAACCCAACCCAAAATGTATCAGAATCTTTCAAATTACCATATTCCTCTCTTCATTACTCCCTCCAACTTCTCTGTATGGATCTCTTTCTTTTTTCTCTTTTCTTTCCCTTCAAAAATAACCCAAGATAAAAAGTAGAACAAAAATACATTAGCATTCAAACAATTCAATTCAATTCAGCACAGATACCTAATACCAAGATTCGAAACAAACTATCTATCCGTCTTTTCCACCAAATCGTAGAGTTCAATAAATGACAGGGATAGGTATGAAAAGAAATGTGAAGAGTTGGAGATTGCCAAGATGGCTAAGAAACTTGTTGACTTCGGATGTTTATGTTTATGTTTAGATAGAATGCGTAGAAGGGAATGTTTGCTTCGAGAAGAAATGTGAGAGAGAGGAGGGAGGAAATACTTGGCGGGTAGTGGGGACGGGACGGAGAGAGGAAGGATATGGGATTTGGGATTTTGGTGGATATAGAGAGGTGGATGGGATTGAGGTTTTGAGATGGGCAGTTAATGATGGGTGATGGTTGTGCTGTACATAAAAAGAGCATTTGAAAAATCTCTAAGACTCGAATGTCATGCGGAAGATGTAGTTTTGTAGATACAATCTATTCCGATATACAACAATTATTCACACCTCCAAATTTCCTCTCACAAAATGTTTGCATTCTCAAGCGCAGAATACCAGACAGATCAAAGCCAATACGTTTCTGAATTATGCACACATCACCACCTAATCAGCAGGCAGCTATCTATCTATTATCTAATCACTCCAGTTCGCAATTACCTCTGTCAAATAACCATTTCTTCTATTATTGCAGTTATTAAGCAGGCTTTGTGCCGGGTATGATGGATATCTTGAACGCCAAAAAACTCCATGTCTCTCTTTTCCTCCACATTATCATCATAATTTTTCTTTGAAATATCAATGTAAATATCATCTGCTCAGAGTGCGAACACCAAAACAGCACCCATGATAGCTATCAAACTGCTCTGAACACTGATCTTTCCAGCCGCGCCGGTGAATTGTGCAGGTCCTCCAGTGCTGGTAGCAGTTCCATTCGCTCCATCTCTCGTGCTGTTCGCACTTCCTTCATAATCACCTCCTACAACACCATCCAACAAGGTAAAGTTGGCACAGGTGATTCGGGTAGTGTTTCCGAAATGAACCGTCAATGAGCGATTACCGAAGAAACTACCCAAGCCCTCGAGTGTGGAAGCAAACTCGTCGACGTAAGAGGCTTGAAAGGGATCGGAAGTGACTTTGCCGTGCTTGCCTGAGAGATCACCCACTTGACAGGTTTGGGGAAGGGAGGAGTTGCAAGCGGGGGTTTCGCCGCGGAGGAAAGGATCGAGATGGCCGAGGGTACCGGTGCAGTTTCCGTCTGAGGGAACGGGATGCGCGTGGAGATGGTAGACTGAAGTTGGTGTTAGCGAGGGGAAGTGAGAAGATGGCTAATCATGCAAAGTACTTACCGAATGGTCCACCACTGGTGGGGAGGTTAGAGAACTGGACTTGGAATTGAACACCGATGCCATCAGGGTTGGCAGTTGCGGAGACAGATCCTTTGATGTTACCGCGTGGGTCATCAGGGTTGAAGAACTCCATGTCTGGAAGAGTTGCGACATAGATTGGACCGACGGGATTGTTTTCGGGGATGGTCGCATTGCCCAAGGTACCGGTTATTGGGAAGGTTGTTGTTTGCGCTTGCGCAAGACTGAGGAGTACAGTTACAAGAACTGATGAGATCATTTTTGATTGCATCTCGAGGGTAAGAAGAGATTCAGGTATATGTGAAACTTTTAAACGGCCAGGAAATTTTCTTAATGAAAAGTGTTGAACTGAAGAAGGAAGGTCAGTACCTGTTTTAGGTCATAGAAGCTTTCGCGTGTAAACAAAGACTCACATTAAAGGGGAAGTGACGTTAGATGTGAATGGTGTCCAAAGCGAAAGTGTTCCACTACTCAAGAGAGTATTGAAGAAATTATGTGAAGAATTATAATTCTGAGGAATGAAGGTAGTAGATAAGTAAGTAAGCTTTTTGAAGAGGGGAGGGAACAAAGGTTTATGAATCACAGATTGTGGATCGATCGTGCCATCCCAAGGATTCACTCTACAAAGATCAAATTTGGATAGTGGATTAGGTAGCCTTGCCAAACATTACCCTACCGTTCCACAAAGCTCTTGAAGGTGCATATCCTCTGCAGGAAACTTGCTGCGCCATTCTTTATCCAGCAAATCGTTGGCATATCTGCAGGTACAAGCGTTGGAAATAGTGGGCTGAAGTTGTACGCAATTCAAACACTTTGATTGTGGCCCGAAAGCCACGGCCGTTCTCACTACTTCTTTTCCGATGAGCAAAGACGATCGGGGCCGGTACATCAGAATCAATATAACAAGGCTGTTTCAATTCGGTGGAGGTAGATAGTATGGGAATTGCTTCGGATTTTTTTTGCAGAATCTGCTTGTTTCATCATTTCGTTGCTACGACCTCCTAGCCTTGATTCTTCTGAAATTGATCACCATGTCAAATAGATTGGGAGTGATGGAAATGAGGTTGACTACTAGCCAGGATCAACATATCGGCGATACGTATCACCAATTTGCTGTAGGCAATCATATTCATTTCGTGCCAATATTGATGCAAATTAAAAGTTGATTTGAAATTCTTCCTGCTGGTATCCAATAGCATCATGATGTGTTACTCCATGGTTCATCTACGGTTGAAAGAAGATTTGAGACATGGATACAATATGTCGAGATTTGGGGTAAGGCTAACTCGCTAAGGTTAATTGGTTAAGCTTTTCGTTTGGTTGATGAAACCCCTGAAATCCGAGCGTTTAAAACCTTGCGCCAATCATTCGGAACTCTTTTTCGGGAACACGAAGATTAAGGGAACGCTTTGATGGTTGGCAGGATTGCTGGATGCTGGTTTCTAAGCCAGAAGAGAATGACGGTTGATCCTATTGATATGGAAAGTAGATTGGAATACCTTGTGTTTGAAAGTACCGCGCGCTACTCTTCAATTTCCCTAAGCATTCTATTGCCTTCTCAATGTTTCGTTTCACAAATTCTATAGTTATGACATTCGTTGGCTGTCTGTGGCCCGTGATAGTACCAGTGTCAGCAAATATGCTAGATGAAAGAGGCGCAGTAGTAGGTATATTGATAGTAGACGACCGCATGTCGTTGACGCCGTCGCCAATACCGAGGACGAATGGGCGCTGGACTTTATCGCATATTCTCATCAAGCTATCAGGATTCACCAAAATTCAGCCCATAGAAGGCTCTAAAGATACCGGCTAAGCTACTGCCGAGTCCACCCACCATTAGCTTTTCGATACAAGAGCACAGAGGCGGCGTTTCATAAACAAACCCTCCATCTGAGCGAATGGCAAGATACGAGTGATATACCACGGAATCCTTGGCATCCGTCCATTCCAGCAATGGTTTGTGAGTCAAGCTTTTGAAAAGTCAGTGTCCGTCAATTCGAGATTTTTGACAGAAGCTTGGCCAAGATCTGCGGATGTTGTTTATCCAAACAAATCAGACCATTTATGCACAGGCAGGCGATGGGTGATATTGTCTAAATGTATAAACAACAATTGGTGACGTTCACAGCATCGACCGCTTCACTGGAAATGAGAAAGGGGCCAACTGAATCGCTGTCGAGAGTATAACATGTTGGTATATTCTTTTCACGACACGATGCGATGGGACTTCGTCTCATCAGTTTCGAATAAAGTAACATAGACCAGCGATCTATGAACTAGACATCGGATGTATAGTTGAAGACTGTATGACTGAGTTCAAGCTGTGGTTACGCGATTCACTCTTGTTCAGATAGCATTGTCCTCACAGTCCGACCTGAAATTTAATCGTGGCATGGTGTTCCAAAGATTTCAAGGCCAATCGGGATCAATTGGGAAATTTGCATGCTATGGTGGACGGTTGCATTCCTGTGTAAAATAAAGTAGTGCCTTTGACCATCTGATACTCGAGTAGTAAAATGATGCCTTGTGCTAATCGCAGTGAAAGTAGAAAGGACTAAGAAACAGAGATAGAATAGTATGAAGACATAAAATTTCCTAACAAAACATATCACGAGGAACCTTGGAAGAGGCGAGGCCATTGATATTTGGCTCTGCAACCAGAATTTAGGACCGCGTTTGGATACCCTCGTGATGATGACAAATGACCACCAGAGAAGCTCATTGTCGATAATCTGGAATTTAGAGAACAAGAAAGGGGAAAACCTAGAATTGTTATTACATCATCGGATTCATAGAGTGGGAATAGACTTTTGATCAATTTGATATACCTAGTAGTTAGTCTTGTGGGAAAAGAATACTGAAGCTTCGCGAGGAAGTAAATGCCAAGACTTACTTTACCTCTAAGCTCCGACTTGCCGACTTTCGACGACACTTTCAATTCAGGTCCATCAACCAACCACCAACCACCAACTACCAACTTCAGACTCTCACACCCTTATCACGAACCTCACAGAGTTCACTTCTTTCCATTCGCATCTATTCGCCCGTAACAAAAGCTTCACCACCACCAAGATGAAGCCCGTCGTAGGAGTAATGCAAGCTTGGTCTTGGTTCGTGCCCTGATTAATCACTGCCTAGCCTTTGTTTTCCATCAATTTCTAACTAGTGCTGTAGCATCGTCATCTCAGTGTTTGCCGTCATCATCCTCTCTATCATCGGCTCTCTCTTTAAGAGCAACAACCACGCACTCTTGGGTGGGAAGGAGGACCCCGAAGACGGGGCTGCGGTCGCCGCTACGGTCTTTTCTGCTGTTGTTGTCTATGCGGTATGTTCTATTGGAGCTCTCAATGATTCCTGTTCAGACAGTCATAAATCCTTCTCATTCATCCGTAATTCCGTAGCTAATGTATGTGTGTGTCCATCAATAGGTTTTCATCGTCGGTTGCGGTTTCCAAGCTTACCTACATTTCCGCGACAATCGAAGAGGTGCTATTTCTCTTTCTTAGCAAACGATTGGCGATCAGCACTGGTATATATGAGTTAAGCATAGAATTTTGGGGTTGATTCGGCGGCGTATGGTGTTCATTTCATCTTGAGACCATCTGATCGATGGAAATTGTATTGTAGGAAAGTGCGAAATGAGCTGGAATGATAATACTGGTTTATTGATTCTATGAACTTGCCACACAAGACTCGGCACACGACGAGATATTATCAACTTGTTTAACGCGCCTGTCTCAGCAAAGTTTCTGCATCTCTTTATCTTGGTCGAATAAATTGATATCTGGCGAATATAGCAGAGAGCATTCGTTTCACCATTTTCCGCATCTTCCCGAGACGCCTAGGTTGTGAATGAGAAATATCCTTCAGTACTTTTACGAGCGATTCTATGCCCTCATTGCATTGCGCTCTCTTGATATTCCCACCTTCAAGATGATTCTTGCAAGACTCTCACTCTGTTGTCACAGCCGGGCTGAGCGTCAACGGTACGCTAGTCAGGACAGTCTACTATCATCTGTCAGCAGTTCGCTACTTAGATTTTCTACTCAAACTCCTCTTAATTGTTGTCAGTTCATTTCCAGATGATACACAAATACCACGAGATCTCAATGTGACATTTGCAGAGCGAAATTTCTAAAACCTGTTCACCACCAGGAAGGAGTCGCGATCATTGCATGCCTCCTTGTGAATCATTCGACAGCATTCGAGTGGATGTGTTTCTAGTTGTTGGCTTGATAGACTTCTGTGAATCTGATTTCAAAAGCTGGTTGAAGATTGGGGTTTCCACCAGGAGATAAGCTTAATGTGAATATAAACAGGTGAGACAACGATATAAGATCGACCAAAGGCCTGCTATAAAGTTATATCTTGCTTCATTCTCCTTACACTGACGGTGAGCTGATACTGAAAACAATTTCTCGGGACCGTATTCCCTATTCACTTTGACGTATCGTAGAATACCTACTCACTGCCACTGGTCCTATCCTCAGGATCTACCTTATTGGCCACCCGCAATCCACGCTCCGCCCCGCTCGATATCATCAACTATCCTTTTAATCTTCAAACTATAATCACCTTCCCACCTTTCATACAACCCTTTTCAAAGCTTTCTACTTCTATCTCCCGTTTTAAAACAACAAGAGTACAACAACAACTCGTCGACCTCAAACCAAATCCAACAATAATACGTGCTTTACAAAGACTTTAACATCATATCGCATAATCAAGTCTCAAGAAATTAACCATCAAAATGCATATCTCAGGCATCATGAAGCTCTCCCTCCTCACTTTTGCTACTCTAAGCTTTGCTGCACCAACTCCGATTACTACTCCAATGGGCGCAGCGGTTGAGCACGCTCGTGCTGCTCAAGATGTTCCAATCAATCTTGTTGAGCTTAGCAACAAGCGTGATGGTCCTATCGATCTTATTCAACTTCCGTAAGTACCTACAATGAATTTTATTTCACAATCTTAGTGCCAACTTCGTGCTTCAAAAGTCCATACATGATAGGTCGCATTCTCTATTCTTGATAAAACAGATTGTGTTCCTCTGACTCCTCTGAGGGGTTTCAAGATGAGCAATTGCTAACTCCCTTGATCTTTTAGTGAGAAGCGCGATGGTCCCATTGATTTGATTCAACTTCCAAAGCGCGAGAGCCCAACTAACCTTGTTCAACTCACCGAGAAGCGTCAAGAGTCTCCAATTAACTTGATTCAACTTCATGGAAAGCGTCAGGATGCGCCAATTGATCTTTCCAAGCTCCCTGAAAAGCGACAAGACTCACCAATCAATCTTGTCGAACCGAGTAACCGCGAAACCACCAAGTATAGGTCCATCCGCTCTCGCAACGCCCAAGATGCTCCCATCAAACTTATCCAACTTCCTGAGAAGCGTCAGGATTCCCCCATCAACCTTGTTGAACTCAGCAACCGCGCCGAAACTGAGCTCCTAGCAGCACGACAAAATGACTGCGGTTCTTCACCTTACCAAAACCAAGAATGCAACGCTGGCACAGGCTTGAGCATTCCAGCATTTGCTGTAATCACTATGGCTTTATGCGCTATTATGGTTGTTTGATAGGGCTTGAAGTATTGGGGCTAGGAGGATCTTTATGGTATTTTGCAGGGCGTGTTATGGATGGAAGGATCTGAGGATATTTTCACATTTTGCTCATGGGCCTCACTTTGAAGGACTCATTATTGCTCTGGCGTTGCACTTTTACACATGTTTTTCGGCGTAGGTATGAAATTAGGGTGGCTCTTTTCATTTCATGGTGACTGGTTCACCAAGTGGATTCTCATACAATAGTTAGCTAGCTAAAACCCAATCTTAAGGTCGAGTGTCTTCCTATTCTGCCAGACCCTCGACATCTAGATGGCTAATACCTAGGTATACTTTTGCACAACCAATGAGTAAATAAATGATTTTTTACAATTTTAGATCTAAAAGTTTGATGAGTGCACTAAGGTACTGCCTTCGATATTCGATGTCAAGACAAAACATTTGTGGCTGTGATTAGAACTCCTTGGTTCATTACAAATGTAAATTTTTTATATAAATCTTATTCGATAGTCATCTTGTGATCTGACATTGAGATATCGGCTTTTCGAATGTATGGCTTTCATTTGGACACTTGGGTGATTGGGTATGTATGCTAGCTCTTGCACCCACATGGAGAATCTATGCAGTGCCAGGCAATCTTGATTTTATCATGCGGTGAACATCGTACCTAGAACAAACCCCAGTGATGATCATTCTCACCCTGCATACAAGATTTATTGCATATCAAAAATGTGATAGCCATGTGATGATAATGTGACAGAATGCGGGGTAAACCCAATCCATCTCCCGACTTGCATCTCCCGAGCACACCTCTTCGCATATCTCCCGAGTCTAACTCTTCCTCCTGCATCATCAACCAGTTTTAGCCATCTTGGCTATTTCCCAACCTTACGACAAGACATTCGCCAAACCTCCAGAACGTTCTGCTGCGGAAAAACTCCCAAACCTCACCCCATTACCCCATGTAGAATATTGAGACACCACTCTTCATGCATCTCGAATTTTTCACCTCAGCACTTCTCGCATCATGTGTCGCTCGCCATGTGTAAATTTCCCAATCTGGTATCACCAGGACCGAGCGATTGGGTAGCGGCCCCAGCTCTCGATATACCGGTGAAGAGACATGGATCTTCATGAATATTACCACCTGAATGTATATTGATACCACCATAAGCTTATCCCGATCCCAAACCAATTTACAAATCACACCGTACATCCACAATGCATATATCATGACTCCACGATAACATGATTATCCAAGTCCCCCAAGCCATACGAATTTCTCTCCACGGGAAGTGTGTGCTTGGTGGTGGTCACATATGCCAATCAAATAGCCCTATCCCATTTCTTCAACTCCCAACCCAAAGCCTGTATAGCTGACGCTTATCTTACATCCCAATCCGTATGTCTACATTCCAGACAAAACCTAGAAAGGAAAGATAGGCTAAAAGCACATGAACCGTTGTCTTAACCCAGCCCGCAGGACGGTAATCTTGAGGCTTAGGGGCGTAGATAGACGGTTTGTGATTTGTGAGCAAATTTTTCCTGGGGATGCGACTGTCGATTCTTAGTGGCGAAGTAGTAGTTATGTGGACTTTGACTGAATAGGCGATATAGGGGAGTAGATGAATGGGTAGCTGGATGAGGGAAGCTCTCGGGCCGTAATGTCGTATGGCTCTGGTTCGTCGTGTAGATACATTGGCTGTGGATATTGACGGGATGGTGAGGGCGAAAACAGTTCTTAATGCATGATATTTATGATCTAGTCTGATATACTACGTTCGGCATCCAACATTTAGTCTTGTGATTGCCTCGCAGAAAAAACATAACGTCAGAACTCCAAGTAAGATTCGGAGAAAGGCAGAAAGACAAATCCGATCCTGGTAGATTAGATCATAAAGTGCTTATCATATGAAACAAATGAATAAAATGTGAGGAATAATCTCCATGTGGAATCATAAGTTTACGTACGATCGATGTATTTGTTTATCACGGTAAGCTCAAGGTTCTTCCCTAAGCCCTGACTGTATCGAGTTCCGACAAATCAACAAGTAATTCTATGTACATCACACTAAATTCGTACGATTAAAAGTTGTATCTAGAACAATGTGCAGGATACTGTAGGATATAGCAAACTATATATTATGTTATGTGTGAAGATACTTCTTGACATGCATGCTGATATGCATGTAAGAATGATGATTGGCTTACTTTCCCCCAAATAGCCTGCACGCGTACGATAAGATCCAGTTACACATACACACATAAGCTCCCCAAAGATCAGACGAAGATATTAGATATCGAAATCTAGGAGCGCTTGTTTGTGAAAAATACATGTTGAGTGTGTATATGCTAAACCCAAGGAGCAGTATCGTGCATATGCAGTCTTCGTACATCTCATACCGTCTTAGCGGCTGTTCCCTCGACTTCTGTTTCAATCCCGTGTTGATGAGAAAAGGCTCTCTAGTAGGCCAACTTCCGGGTACTTTTACGACAACCGGACCAACACCACCCTGATTTCTGACCATTGGCAATTTTTTCCGCGGCTGCTCCGTAATGATAACAGTTTGCCCTATGTCTTCAACAAATGTTTCCAGCATAAATGCAAGGAAAGTATCGACATCGGAAAGGATCGACATGGCTCCCAGACTGGCTCGCACCACGCCCGTAGGCTTCCCATTGATTATCTCCGTGTTGTCAGATTCGCTACAGCGATGACCGGCTGACCAAGCTCGCTTGAAGTGCCAAGGTGCTACCTTGAGATAACTTGCGATGCCTCCAGGGTTGCAAAGCCCACCAGCTCTTACGTATATGTCTTTCCGGTTGGCTAATTGTTCTACTGTTGAATACGACACGTAACTACCGTCCGACCGTAGAATATTGAATGCTACAGTAGCACCCTGGGTGGTGGCGTCTGTGTAAGGGCGGACATTAGTTGCGTCATGGTATATTTCGCAAACAGGGAGACCATTAGAGTGGCGAATGTTTGATAGGCCTTCGAAGAGGCGCCGAGTGAGGAACATCGTATGCTTGGATATGTTGATCATTGAGCCATAAAGACTAAGGTGCACATCAATTGCACACCCCAGTGCGATAATCGAATGAAATGGTAATGTACCATCTTCTAATCCGTCATGAATCGTGGCATCTTTCCTGTGGTAAGATGCCTCATGTATTACCGTTAGAGACGATACTGTACCGCCGCCGAAGTACTTACGCCAAGTTAGGATATGTGCCGAATTCCTGCGAACTATCAGAGCTCCTAGATCGGGGAAGCCAAATATTTTGTAAAACGAAAGGACGGTAAAATCAGGAGACGCGTCGGGATCACTGAAGTCAAGCTGAGTTGTTGTCGCAAGGCCTGCAGCGTCTAAGAGAGAATAGGTATTCTGATGTGAAATGCGAGTCGACCCCCGTAATTTTTTACTCCAGGAGAGAGGTAGTCGACGACCAGTCATATTTGATTGCCCCGGAAATGCAAGAATTCCTGGCGTTTCATCATCTTCCCTTCTTCCTGGAAGAGATCTGTAGCCAAGTAGCCAGTCCTCTACTTCTTGGTCGCTTGTGAAGCAGTGATGCTGTCCATTGGTATGTTCTCGCGGACCAACGAGACTCGTATGAGCATCTTTATGATAGCCGTACCAAAATGATCCCGACGTCGAACTCTCTAGCGCCAAGTCTCTAAAGCTTTCTGCGACCAATTTGATCGCTGCGGTAGCATTTGAAGTGAAGACGAGGTCAAAATGAGTAGGATCGGCCCCAAGAAATCTCAATGCCTTTTCACGCACGGAGTCGACGACATGCCCCGAAAGTTGTGCTGGGGCTGATGCCGAGTGTGGATTTCCAAAGAGATTTTCCACCATCTCTTTGGAAAATTTGTCAATTAGAGACTTCGCATAGATAGCTGCATGTGTCATGATTAGCGCTCCGTAACTTAGATAATCATTCAGGACCAGAAGTATAAATCTGGCTCTCTGACGAGTAGTAAGGCAGAATATCAGAAATCATAACTCAAAATCGAAGGGATAATAGGAGTGATATTTTGAAGTCTTACTTGTGCCCGCATGGTCAAGATAAGTTTTCCCTGTTGTAATTTAGCGATTGGGGATTCTATCAGCTCGGAATCTTTGTCTAAACTTACCCTTCATCATAGGGTATTCTTCTTCTCTGAAGGCCTCAACCTGTCGGTTATATGCCATGGTGTTGAAATTTTGAGAATTCGGTTTTGTATAGAGACAGTTACAAGAAACTACCGAAGATAACTACCCATTTCTTTATGTACAAGTTCAGAGGACTTGGAGCAAGACGGGTTAAAAGGAAAAAAGCGCTCAGGCTAATAGTAGCCTGTGACCGTAGAGCTCTAAGTAAGCTGCTATTGGCGACACCTTAACTTGGAAGCACAGCCGTAAATTTTCAAGATGATTGCCGGAAAGAGAGAATGTTGGCCGTATTAGATCCAAGTAGATTCAACGTCTCTAAGTAAGCTGCTATTGGCGACACCTTTACTTGGAGGCACAGCCGTAAATTTTCAAGATGATTGCCGGAAAGAGAGAACGTTGGCCGTATTGGATCCAAGTAGATTCAATGTCTCTTGAAGCTTTTGAAGCAAGTCTGTAGGGCTAGTATTAGTCATCTAACTTACTGTTTGATTCCATCGTTTTCAACCTGTAAGCGGCCAGGGATTGCCTCTAGTAGAAGTTTAAATGCTTACTGTACTTAAAGGGAACAAGCCCATGATCAAGATGAGAAGAAAACGCTGACGTGCCGTATGAAAATAGAACCGGTAGCAATGGATATCCAAAAAAGGAAGTCGCCCGATCATGAAATGGCTGTGCACCAGCTCTGAATGGTGCCTATCACAAAGTGGTTTCCTTAGCGGATATGCCCGCTACCACAAGATTTCTAGGCGGCGCCCATCACTCACTGCCATTTGTCGAATTGACATGTTTCCTGCGAGTACCAACTGTAGTGTGGACCAGCTCAATCAATATTGGACAGACCGCGATCTCGTACGCCAACCTGAAGATCTGGACTTTTCAACGGGTGACATCCTATTTTTTCCTCTTCCATTTGTCAATCGCGCGAATGGTTTCAACAAACCGAGCGCAAGATATCTGCTCAGCTGAGAGAATTAACAATTCAACTCAGTTGTGATAATGAATTCGAACAATGGCACCTTGAGTACGTTCAGTGAACGTCGTGATCGATTCAAAATTCACTACCCTAGTCGTTGAGTAATTCTTGGTGAATATAGACCCATGAGCAGACTATTGATCTCGAGGATCGAGATATAGATTGGACGTGTGACGATTTCGAAACGTCAATATTACACACTAAAAAGCACCTTAATTGATGATCAGTACGCCTCTTCGAGCGTAAGTTCCACAACGATGAAGAACATATTTTAAGCCGTGTATTCTTAGGCGGTGATTGATGGCGTTTCAAAGATATCTCAGCTTGCATGCAGTGCCGATATCGTAATGGATGTTGAGCCAAGGGGCAGATTAATGATGATGAAATCTTCAGCCTTGTTGGGTTGGTAATCGATAGCGTGATACGAGGGTGTACAGGTGGGAAGGGATAGACGAATTGAGGCTCACAGTATCATCGAGTAAGTACCAATGTATCGTTGTTCCTGTGTTTGTTCATTGTTCGTTGTTCGTTGATTTAAGGACAAGCGCTTATCAGTGGGGAAAAAGCTCACTCCGATGCTGCGATAGTCGAGCTCAATAGCCTCCCACCGCAGAGCAAGCGCTTGCGACAAGCGTCAATTCGTAGCTGAATGATGTTGATTGGTTGAGCTTTGCTGGTACCTTGTGGGAGGTCGGCGACCATATGATATGGTCCCCGATTTATAAATTAATATTGTATACGAAGAACCCCTCGGAACTTAAAAAGAAAGGATATGTCGTGACAGTCAAGAGTGAATTAAAGTTTGGGTGTTACGCGCCTCAAGCTTGAAGTTTTGTGTTGCAACACTGAATTTGTGTTGATGTCAATCACGTGTGTACGTGAGGCCCAAGCAATTTGAGATATTATTGTCGGAACTAGAGTGCCACAATGTGAGCATTTCCTTGAAACCTGTCAAGTTATCCGACTTTGTTGAATTTTAATTTGCCTGTCTCTGTGAATCCATTACCGGTGAAGCAATGCCAAAGAAAATGGAGCAATGAGGATAGGTATGGTGAAAGACTCGCCGTGTTGACCAAACCCCGTGCTGGCCATGTCCATTTGTTCAATTCGCCTCGTATGCTGAGAATAAGTGCCAACTATTTGAGTGACCTGGTCTCAATTATCACCTTGAATGGCGGGACAGATGATCAGGTGTGCTCTCCGACTGGTCATATTACCTCTGTCTCTGCAATCAGCAACCAAGACGTATGCTCGCCCCAATCTTACAATCTCCTTCAGGCAAGCCATAATCAGTTGCCTACCTTCAAGTCGTTTCTATGAAAGGGACTTGTGGAGCACGGGTCAGTGTATGTGGAAGTCTGCATACTCAAGATACCTAGGTATTGAATGATCAGACTCTGCCACAAGACCTTCGAGAGGGATTTGAAGTACTGTCGTAAGACTTCTAGCACGTAGTCCAAATAGGTGTAGAATCTCCGCGCTTATACAGCATTTGAATATTGAGAGAACTGGCATCTTCCAAACCTTGGATAGAATCACCGGACATCGGTCTATGGAAGGGATTCTGTTCATCTGAGAGTCAATGCTGTAGGCACCTGGCGCGGTATCTTTCACTGTAAAACATTTAGTTTCAAAGCTATACACCAACTCTACCCTTACTGAATCTTGGCATACTCACCCTGCTTTAAAAAACTTTCTTCTCTGTTGCTGTGTTTTTGTGAGTTTAACAATCTTTAAATTCGAAGTTTGAACACGAGGAGAAACCTTCATTCGCTACGGATAGCCCTCCAAAGGAAAGTATGAAGCATTTGATATAGTGTGAAAACTACTGAATCGAATGCCGAAGTCGATGCTATATGAAGAACTGCTCCTGCCGGCACTTGGCCTGCATGATACACCTTCGGCGAATGAGTCGGGGACTGATGGTATCGGAAGAATTCTGGATGGCTAATATGCATTGTAGACAACTACGGGAGAAGGAAATCATGCAGGCAAGGTGCAGTCTGCGAGAAAGTCGACCTGACGGTCAATTGTCACTTCTGCTGTGTAACAATCATGCAAGGCACGGGTGCTTGACCTGAAAAGGCCGCAGATTGACTGTTGAAAGTATTTCAACCGATCATTAAGTGAGAAGATGGAATAAAACTACGATGCGCAGTTCCAATCGCGTTAAACATGAGATACGACCATGAACTTGAATTATTGATATAGGGTTCCATCATGGCTAGAACTGACTAGATATATATCTTGCTGGACCCAGCAGATGCGAACAAGCTGCCCATATTTATAGCAAAAACAAACCGGAAAGTGCTGTTATGAACAAGAAATCCTGATGTACTAAGTTGAGTAATATATTCGGTTGAATCTTATAATGCTGTTATTGATGTTGACCTGCCTGTAAAACTCCTTTCTTGGATTGACAACCACTGTAGATACCTATGCATGCCATTGGCGATTGCTACTGCAGCGACATGACAGGAGAGTTCGAGCACCCCCAATCCAGCGCAAATCGATTGATATGCATTCGAACTTGCATGAAGCCGGAATTCCATGCACCATATACAGACAATGTCAATATTCCTCACTTTTCCCAGTCCATGCTGGCATCACGACTTATGATCGTGAATCGTCAACATGAATGAAATGACTCGTGTTCATGTGTCTCAGTATCTTTGAAGTTACCTGAACAAGCTCTGTATAAAATTCATAGGAGTTATCGTGCGTTAGCGGCGCACAGTAGCCTCGTGTTTTTGAAGCAATTGTGGTGTTCTAAATTTGTGACGGCTGCCAATTTTGTCACCTCGGAAAATGACACTATGAGACATGTTGCAGTACCCAACACGGGGATTACGTCAAAACGGCCCTGGCATCCATCTACCTTAATTCGTACATGACTGCAGGTGTCAATCGGGATGAAACAAATATTAGTTCAAGTCCCAATTTTGGCGTCTCACTAAGATTTCCGGTCCTCCGCTTCTATAAAAACCAAGTGATTGAGAACTGTACGAAAAGAGTCTTGAAAAGAGAACTGCTGAAAGATCGCGACTTGGCCAAAGAACTCCCTAAAAGAGATGCGGGACGAGAAAGAAATAATTGTCTAACGTTGATTCAGAAAAGATATGTAATCGTAGCCGATATTACCATGGATGCGAGCTCCAATTTCATGTTTAGTGCGGTCGGATATCAGCATCGTACAAATTCGTGTTGGCGCTACCTAGCCTAGCTTCCCCCCAAACTAAAATGATCCAGGAACAACAATCTTGCAGTCGATCAAATCAGGTATTAAGTGTGGACGATGTGGCTATCATCTCAACCCCTCCTAATCCAAAGGGAAACCTGCTAGATGCTGACGCGTTTTGTCCTTGGAGAGTTTTTTCTTCAAAGATCCCTATTTCAGCGGTCAAAGAGAATGTCTAGTGACTGATATCCCCGCCACTAGTGGTTAACAATGGACATGTTCCGACTGGAACCAAGGCTTTTAAACCACGGTTAACGGCTTCATGCATTGAGATTACGTGTAAAATGTTGCAGAATCATTCCCTATTATGATCGCCAGGAATTCCATTCTCGACATGTGTTCCCTGGACCCGAGGGAAACATATAGAGGCAAGCTAAGTTGGGATGATGCTTATCAGATCGAAACCCCTCGGAAATCCGCTAGATAAGCTTGCTTGCTTCCGTACATGGTATTATGACGATCAAAAAAGTGAAAGATTTTGTTTGTTTGTTTGATCGCATTCGCAATAAGACATCCGGCGGATTTGCCTCCAATACGTCCATCACGGAAAGTCTTAGGTAGGTAGTGTAGATGATCAACTTCTCGAAGTTTTGAAAAAGTAACTGTCGCGAACCTCATATAGAATTGGATTGAAAAGGTATGCCGCATCGGATTTTGTTTCTGAAAAATGGTTCCAATCAATGCCGAATTTCGATGGCTCTTTTGCTTCCCTCGGCTTTGCCTCTATCAACCGATCAGAGCCATAAGATCGATCATCTCGTCTCTAGACCCCAAAATGGCCCCTGTGCCGCGTGAAATATATGTTCCATTGATTATGCCGCACATGTAGTCAGCTCGATCATGGATTTCAGGTCTCGAGCCTTATGGTCAACCCAATCAGTAAAACATAAGCCACAAGACTCAGCGTCGTCAAAACAACCACGGCATTCCCACTGGTCCTGAATTTCTTCCTTCCCATGCCATCCCCATCTATCTCGCTGAAGAATTGCCTGTTGCCCTCATACCTCCTATACAGGCTGACCATTAGAATGCCGGCTCCGTATGTCGCAAATAAGGCCCCAATACTGTAGAATTCGGCCGTAAAGATCTTTAATACTACCAAAGCGAAACTAAATTGTCCCAAAGCAGTCCTTATATATGCTCCCTCGAAGGTTCTTTGTGCGGCTCGAATTTCCACAAGCCTGTATTGTTTTCAAAACACGTCAGCCAGTGTATACATATACAAAATCCCGCACTACTTGTTGCTCATTTCAAGGCCAGAAGGGGGAATAAGAGGGGACAAACTCTTGCGCCGTTAAAATAACGGATCTCGCTCTGTGTAAGCGCAAATGTAATCTATCTTCCGGATGTGGCTCCAGAACATTTAGCAGGGTATTCATGGTGATGGTGGAAGTTGTACATAGTATAGAAATACTTTAGCACCAGTAGAGGTAGATGAGACTGGATAAATACCTCGAACATACCGACGAATCGGCTCAACCCATGAGTAGACATTCCGTAAGTACTTAGGTAATATACGAAGTAGGTAATTATACGGGACGGGGTACAGGGGGATTTGTTGAGGGCTTTGTCCGTATCACATTAAATGATGTGCTTGTTGGAGAAGTTCACGGCGAATGATGATGAGGTTAGAGCACGACATCACTCATGGTCCCATCTAGGTGCCTGAGGCATACGCAGTCTTAATTGCTCGCCATCAATACTCAGGCATTTATTTCATTTCAATGACCTCACATATATGTACATGTATACAAATCTGGCACTCATTCTTTGAGTCTTCTTGTCTTTTCGAATGCATAAAACCAGTGGGCGATAGATTAAATCCTGTCCATGTATCGCTACATTCATACAAATTGCCCAGGAGTGAAGCAATCTACTTAATCCCTGCCTTTTCTGATAATATCTCTTCCTTTCTGTTCATTTGTCTAATAAGGTGTCCATGGAAAATCCCCCGCCGTCATGAGATTACTTGGATGCATCCCACTTTAAGATATCAAAAAACCAAATGATAAACAAAAAAAATCGCTGTCTCTTTTTCCTCCTCAAAAGAATTATAGTAAAAGCCAGTCGCCATACCAGTCCGTTTAATATCGTTTCGCATGATGATGACCCCAATGTTCCGAGTAAAGAAATTCCCAAACTTTCTGTGTCCAGTATATACAAAAAGGCGCTTTCCGTCTTGTTCTTTCAGGACTTCGAGCGAGGTTACATTTATAATCGCGCCTGGCGAAAAGCCCTTATCGCTTTCGCTTTTCCCCGCCCAGATTTTACCCCAATCGCGAGAACTGTGGTATCGAACAGTCAATATATGCCGGAATAATAACCAATTCCATGCGCCAATAATCCAGAAACGTAACCGTGATCCGCGATGTGCTGTTGTTCGATTGAAATGTATTCCTTGTTCCGCTAACGGCCTGCTGCATGTGGCTGGCCAGCATAATAGACCCCGCCTCCAGAACTGCTATATCCGCCATATCCTCCCACACTTTCTTCTTCTTCCACAATGCGCTGTCCTCCTTGGGCACCATTCCAAGAAGCATATGTATCAACTCCAGGTGAGACTTTCGCATAACCGCCAGTATACGGTTGATTCCAGCCGGTGTAAGGTCCCGCCGACATGGGGGTTGCAGAATGTGTGTAGGCTGTTCCAATTGTTGACCCGGATGAGATCTCGGCGGCGGAATGTGGATGTGTAGTTGTGATGTTTGGCGGATATATTGCACCGTTTGAAGCACGGGTTCTCGCAGAAGCGTATGAATCCGGCGGGTTAGGAAGTCCATAAGCGGAATGTTGATGGCTGTTCTGCATTCCTTCCAAGTTGCTATACGAAACAGATCGCTGTGGTACTGGCCATTCCGGCTCTCTTGGATTTGTTTCAGGCTGACCGTGATGGCCTCTGCTTTGCCAGTTCTGCCCATTGGCAAGGTGCATGTTAGGGGTGGTGTAAGGTGAGAACCCTGGAGTCATTGGAGATTCTTGGGAGGCAGGCCAGTAATTTCCAGACATGTCTGCTGGAGGTTTGGTCCCTGGAGAGACTTCTGGTGCCATCCAAGCTGTTTGACCACCATTATAGTCAAAGTTACGTGATGAAGTGACGACTGGAGAACCCGTTAGTATGAAAATACATGGAAGTCAAATTACATACCCTTGTTATCGGGAGAAAAGCTTTCGTTCCTTTCTTTTTTGACCTGAGATCCTCCTAGGTTCTGGATTGATGGCATGCTTAGATGGTAAGGAAGATTAGGCTGCATGTCGGGTATCTGGCTAGATGGAATAGACGGTGAAGATGATTGAGAGGTTCCTCCAGTTCCACTTGGGGCTTTGGAGCCTCGACGCTTAGGTTCTGGCTGAGGCTGTTGGTCGACTGGATAGAAATTGCATTCCTTTTTTAATCTAATGCAATTTGAGCATCGATTCTGAGGATCTGCTGGAGCCGGTATACATCTAATCTTGCGTCGACGACAGTGACCTATGACGATAAGTTAGCATATTCATTAAACTTTCGCTTCGTCTTAAAAGATAGATCGCATCTGTCTTCGATAGACGAGAACAAATCTTACCACAAGCTACCGACGTTCTATGATAACCTAATTTGTTTCTTCTCTTATCATTAACCAAGGCCAAGGCAGCCGCATCAGTATTGTTAGAGGTTCTGATATTTGGAGTAGACATTGATCGTTTTGCTTTGGATTCTTTTGTCGCTTTTGATAAGGAAGAAGCTTCAAGTTCCCGGGTAGATGGAGATGGCCCTTGCCCATGTAAAGGTGAGTGAGATCGAATTGGTTCCATATGATGATCGTAACTGGGCATCATATTTTGGTCGAGACCTTGATTCATGGTATGATACGGGTAGGCCATTGGGGATATCTGATTTGGATTTCCTCGTGAGAAGTTGTGATGTGGTAAATCGGCCATACTCCAGGGACTGGACTTGGAGCTGAATGGACCTTGAACAGAGACGGCCATCAATCGAGGCTATTTTCGCGTATGATGTCGAGTGCCAGTGAATATCTTCCCTCAATAAAATAACTGTTTGTCGCCAAAACTAAACTTTTCCACGACTTCGACGATAACTGACACCAAGAAGGAAAAGTCTTATTTCTGAAGATCAGGGAATAATTATACAAACATTCACTACTTAACGCTTTTCAAATTTAGTTAAAAGATACCCCAAGGGTGGATTGAATCCGAAGGAGCGAGCTGACAACGGAATTATGTTTGATGAGGTCGAATTAAGCAGGCTGCGGCACTTTTTATTGGCGTCGAAAGTTGGTCTGGGGACAGTCGAGCGGCAAGAAAACGCATTAATTCCAGTTGCGCACCGATTTCAGGGACTTCACGAGCCCATTATTATTGATCTTCAGGTATGTAATATGCAGGATGATAGGTGAATCGAAGGGAATCTGTGGCTTGAGGTGTGGTAGAAAGAACTGACTACTCGTGCCAGGTAATTCCAAGCGGAGAGAAACAATGCTTCTTGGGGGGATAAGCAGCCCGTGGGAGTTGAATAGCCCTGACGACGAATGGGAGAAGAGGAATGCACGCCACAGCAGGACAGTCTAGAAATCCTATTTTTTTAGGGTTGGGCGTTGAGATATCGGAAGTTATAAACGATGATTACAATTCTTCAACAGCGAGTTTGTGGCCAAGAAAATGATCGTTGAGAAATGAGAGAGAAAAGATGGAAAGAAGTATGACAAGTCTAAGCAATTTTTGATTGACGTTGGTTCTTTCGAGAACGATTTAAGATGTGTGGCAAGGAAGATGGTAAAGCTTTCTTCAGGAAGTATAATCTATACAAAGGGATCAACAAATCTTTCTGGAGGCCATGCGACGACACCAACCAGCAGCTCCACCCCCTGGGCATTGGCAACCCGGATCAAAAACGAATGCCTGTCAGCTCCAGCTCCATCTACAGCCCTAGCATGCCTTACTATGTACCTGGTATCCTGGTATCCTTGTTCTTCTGGCGCCATCGTTTCTATTCTGATGTCCTACCTAGTCCATATTCTACTGAACGTCGGTGGTTATCTTGGTCCGCTAAACCATATTGCACACTCATGGGACATTATCATACTAGGACTAATAGTGTCAAATCTCAAGAGAGACAATGCTCATTGTGGCTCGATAAAGGAAGGCTCTAGAGTGGAAGTATACCATGATGGGACCAATCCCGGTGAGATTTGGATCATTTTGGGGAATGCAGCAAGATTCGGAAGCAGTTGCGAGAGCTTTTAGCAAACAAAGAATAATGACCCATTTATTCGGTAATTATTCTTGGGATCTACCATGCGTGGATTGGCTATATTGATATAATATGGAAAGTGGGCTTTCTTTCGTTCGTCGGGGGTGGATTGGAATTTGGAAAGTTCATCAATAGAGTTTGTCGTGCATATCAGAGGTTTCTCGCATATTCATTGAACAAGGTATTTTCCTACTTTTTCCTGGTCCACTAACTACAGAAACTACAAAACTCATCATTCTATAAGTCAATTCACCTAAGGATTGGTCTTGAAAGCTGTTATGAGCTAACAGTTGGCGGGTACCGCCGCTTAACACCCTGACAAACCTGTCAAGTGCGACCGATAGTCCATATTTGGTGCTGACGACTCGCGCGAATCGGCGAGCTTCATAGCTATTTTGTTCGATAGTACAGTATTGTATTATCAAACGTTAGTATGCAGCCACACCAATAAATTTGAATTGCCTCTAAGGAGCGTGTCGAGCCTAAGTTGTAAAACTAAGACCACATACGCCCCGGCTCCTGGCTACCTATTGCTCGAGCGAAGATTACTTGCGGTTTTCTTCAAGCGATGAATATGTTCCGTACATATTTAAAGAAAAGTTGACAGCGGTTGATATGCTTCCTATGGTTGCACTCTTCCTTCATTGATCTTCCTACAACGCCGAGTGACGATGATTTGCAGAATGCATCGACGCTCCTTGTTAAAACAATTTAATGAAATCCAGATCCGAAGAATAGTCCAAGTCTTTGAGATGGATGCACATCTAGTTCCGCACTATCGTGGATTTACCTCTCCACACAATGGCACACACTCAACCCACCCTCTCAATACAAGCCCCTTGACCCTTGGAGCTTTTGGTGGTACCAAGGTCCAAATGAAGTAATACCTAGGTATCATTCGGAACTATTTGTGTTCTTTGAGAATACGATGTATTTTCCTGTATTTTTTTCTTACATTTATGCATACCAACACTTTAACTTTCTTCTAGATCCGATACCAGCATACTATCAAAGCGAGCTCCCAAATCAGAAACCCCAACTCCGTTACTTCAGATCGGGTATTACGAAAGGCATGAAATGGGTAAAGGGTAAATGACTCTTGGCCTGTCCACCGCTATCTTCCATTTCAGAGATTTCATCTTGTCCTCATTGTCAATTTTAGCTGACTTTGTGTATCCCTTCTAAGTTTCAACGAAATGCTATGAGGGAAACAGCCCCGGTTCTAGTCTCCGAGCGTGTCAGCGGCTGGGCTCTTTTGGAGATTACGGAGTAAAAGTGTTGCATGGATCATAAACACCCCTAACCTCACCAGACATTTCAATAGGATCTTCAAAGTCTCCATAGTGGC